TGGACATAACTCGAGATTACTATGCAATGTTTACGTCAATTTTCGTCAAATTTACTAATGCCTCTGTTTTAGCTCAAGCAAGCAAGCAATAAACATCTCTACCCATGAATAGTCAACATAATGTAGTTCTCCTTTGATCCTAATGAGAGTAATTTCAGATTTTCAGATAAAAGTTTTTCCTTTTGCCGATTTTTGATGAGCACGATTTCTTTTCAAACTTCATCGGAAGAATCGATTCAACAATAGACGTTTGAATTTGGCATTTTTTGCTTCTTAAGCATTAGTTTCGCTAATGCATTATCTCGGAGATCATAAGAGGGAATATTTGCAATATTAATAAAGCTAAGTTAAAGTGTAACGGGGATGTCATAGTTTAGATTAGGTTTACTTCCGCGATACTCAAAGAATTACGGAGCCAATATTGCGGGCCTATAGTCGCCTATAGCCTCCCCCCAGTTTAGGGCCAGTGCATGTTCGAGTGTTACCGATGGAACGGCCAGTAAGTAACATTTTTATCAATCTCCAGTGGTGTGTACCGCAGATAGTCAAAAAAAGAATTCTATATATATATGCAGTGAATAGTTAAAAAACGTAATCGATTAAAAGGAACGAAAAAAGTCATATTCGTTCTAGGACGAATATTGGATACTCATCACCCCGATTAAAAACATTCGTAAAAGTTCGCGAAAGTGCGGAAAATATATATCACAGTCAACTTGAAAGCGATATTTTTTTTTGTTAATTTTCATCGATGTGTATTTAGAATATGACTTTATATGGAACTTGGTCTGATCCAGTTCGTTTTTTTTTTTTATAGGATTCAAGCATGCTCGAGTTTTAAACTTTGAAAAAAATAATTAAGAAATTTCCGATGTGAAAATGGATCAAATCGGTCGAAGGATCCGTAAATTGAGAGCACGTATAAGGAAGCAATAATATTAGTTTGGGGAAAAAGAAATCCATTATTTTTTCATATAAAAATTCAAAACCTAATATGTGTTGTGCTTAATACGCAGAAACTACACGAGATAAATTCATAAAAACTTGAACATATATTCTATGGGCGATGCTATGGTGGAAAAAGTTGACCATGCCCGCCCAATATTTTAGAGTATGAAAATTGGGCTCTTTCCCATTTAATTACTCTTTTTTTAGGACAATGATGATGGGCATAAAAGATTCCGTCATAGCTGACAATAAGTTTTTTACTTGTTATAAATATATTTGCATTCTTTCCTTCCCTTCCATATATAATTGAAGTTGATTGAAGAAACTTGGAATACTACAAATATTGTTGCGTGATAAACAGAGCGCTCGTGTGCATAGCCATCACTATAATTAATGCAATTAGGGAATAAAACTTTTTTAAAGTACATTAGACTATACAAACACCTCATGGAAAAGCGAGGAAAGGCATTGAGGATTTTTGAATTTTGGATTTTTGTTTTTTTTAATACTTGATACTTTTTTAATCAACAATGTGAATCATCTGCGCACTGAAAAAGTACTTAAGCACGCCTTAGCTAGGTTTCATTTGCGAGTTTCGACTTCTTTTTTTTGTCGTTATGTATGCATGCAAGAGATGGAGAGAGAAACGTTCTGCCAAAACTGTGAAATCAGTTGGCGCTTTGAGCTAGTATGGTTGCTCTAAGTTATTATTGATTATTTGGAGCTGCATTTGTAAGGGAAAATAGCTGAAAATTGGGAATCAAATAAAATTCAAATAGAATTGTTTTCTTGCAAACGGCTAAAGCAAACAAAAAATTTAAAAATTTCTGAAAGATTAAGTAAATTAGTTCATTTTTATACCCATCACTGTAGGATGAGTGTATATTCGTTTTGTTTTTTTTTTATAATATATATAAAACTCCCAAAAGGAAACTTCAGCTTGATCAGTGTGAAATTTTGAGTTGATTTAGCCATGTCTGTCCGTCTGTGTGACTGTGTGATGTATGATGTATGTGGCACTCTCCTGGCCGCAAAAATGAAGATATTAACTTCAAATTTGGTAGAAACAATGAAAGTTTCTGAACGATGGTTGGTATTGATCATGATCCAAATTGATCACAACAGATGCACGCAGTGGAGCGTAAACGGAACGCAACTCATTTTTTTTTTTTTTAAATTTTTGGATTTTTGCTCGTTACTCGGAAGCTATTAAAGTTAGAAAGCTGATATTTTCCACATTTGCTCGACGAAATACTTTACTCTCCAGGTCCCAAAAAAAAAACGAATCAATCGGCTAAGCTCACAAAAAGTTACGAGTATTTTTTAATTTCATCTTATTCAATTTATTGAGGTTTATTGCTTGTTTATCATACGGCAAATAAGACAGAATTTTGAATTATTTTGTAAACTCCTTAAATGAAGACATAACTATCTGCCTAAAAATGGGTTAATTTTAAAATGACTAGAGGGTAGATACCGCGATTAATTTCGTTTTTAATAATACCAGCGATATGGGTATCAAATAAAAGAAATTGAAGAGTAGAATGAGAAAAGCATAGTGGTGGGTATGAGAGCGATATTCGGCATTGGCCGAATATAACATTATTGTTATTATTTTTTTTGTTTTTTTCGTTTTTTGCCTTTTACTGTAATTGTAATCAACTCTGTACCGTTATCGATCTTCCGATACATCGCAATATAATGTCACTATCACTGCGACAAAGCGCCAAGAATCAACAAATCTGAAATACTCGTCATTCTGCTAAATGTGTTAATCTTATCGCCAACAAGTCTAATCCATTCTACTAAACAGGCAGACAAGAGAGGAAGTTAGTAAAATATATTGTTATTAAATAATCAAGTAATGTTGACGAAAGTATAGGCGAACATCAAGATTGACGGAAAAGGAGTTTTGAGAGCAATAACAGAGCGCTGCGTGACCCTTGAGAACCTCTTACGTTGCCCGAAAATGTTTAAGTAAATGATTTTGTACATTTGTCAACAACATAAATTAAAATGTATATATGTTGTTGCATGTCGATTTTTGTAAAATTTTCGCGTATCAAAAGTAGCTTTTCGCGTACATACATCGGAAAATTGATGCGAGCAATTTCTTTTTGTGCATTTCATGTTCTGATAACATCTTGTCGCATAACAAAGTGAAGCATAGCTTGAATGGAACGATGGTGAGTTAATCTACATACATGTACCTTTTCCTTCCTGGATCAGAGCAATTTATTTTGACGACGATGTCGACGTTACGACTAGACGCCTTTCAAGCGAGAAAACAAGAATCGTCATATCTTTTGCACTTTGAAATCGAATTGTAATAAAATAAAAGCTATAAAGAAATTAATTCACTTTAAGATGTTTTGTGAAAATAAAAAACTTGCCTTTTATCTATCTAAACACAATACATTCTTTATAGGTATAAAAATGAAAAGATATATTTATTCAAATTCGTAGTTCAAGTTCACAGTTCATATCTTTTCTATGAAATTAATTCATTATTCATTTCGTTTCATTTCATTTTTGTTAAAAATTGTACATAACTTTTTCTTTTATTTACGTTTGAATGATATTGTTATTGATTGTATCGTTACAAAACAAAGAAACGTCAACTTTGCTCCTTATTTTCTCATTATTTTCGCGAAATAAATTTCGATTGACAAACGGCATGCATGACTTTCAAGGTACGCCGTTCAAATAAGCGCTGGTTACAATTAAAAGATGAATAATCGTTGCTTTGTTTTTAATTTATTGAATTCTAGAACAAGAAGAAGAGGAAGAACAAGAATAGTAAGAAGATTCCTTAGTAGTGACAATGACTTCGATAGACATATTCAACAATGATGAGACGTTCCAAACCAATGACTATTAATAATGGAAGACATCTATAACGAGAACAAATAACTTGTCTCGAATACAAATATTTTTCGACCATTGACCACTAAACTGTTTAATGTGTCATTACGTGGCCATGGGTTATTACATGACACATATAAATTTAAAACGTATTCTCATATGTAATTAGAAATCACAACAAATTGTGCTCAACTGTTATAGTTAGCAATACAAGCAGGTGCCATTGAGATATCAATAACGATTGAAGGAAAATAATTTACATAAATTATGCCGTAAGTTATGCCATATAAATGGTAAACGTTAGGTTAAGATTCTTATTCAATCTGCGAAACGTAAATCTGAAAGTTTTTAATTTTCTCTTGAAACAGATATTAATCGAAACACCACGACCTTAATGTAGATGATAGCCTGGATTGCTGGGCTTAGATGTAGCATGTTTACATGTGTTGTGTTATTGTGATGGATGCATTCTTTGCCATCATTTGCATTATGTTGCGAAGAATTTCTACTTTTAGCAATGAAAATCTTCCATGGAGTTTTGACGGCTTCATTTGGAAAGGCACTGTCTTATCCTTTAAGATTTACAAAAAAAAAATCTTTACTTTCATCTTTTTATTTTTAGAAATTCCTTACTGGCTTAAAGGGCTTTCCTTAAAATTCCTCAAAAAATAAAGCGTTCTCCTAGTGAAATATTTTTACTTTTCAATAAACTTCAGTAACTGTTTAACCCTGAACTCTGTCCCTCAAAATATCATATAATCGCCCAAAAACAGTATATGCTAAGAATACTTTCAATGAACTAACCTCTGCCGAATATCTGAGCTTAAGGAAGTTGTGAAGAAACTGGAAAATATGAGGAATGATATTATCCTGATCCTGAGCGTGAACTTGATTTTGAATTTGAACTTGAATTTATAGGAGAGGCATGCGCGATTTTCTTACTTGTTTTTACAGAGAACTTATGTCTTGAATTCAGAAAGACTTGCGTCATTTACTGAATGATTCAATTTTTCCGGCTTTAATCTGATAGATAGAAGTTCTATTGTGCTGCGTGGTGATGAGCATAATAAAAACAAAACTACTAAACCAATTTAAGCGTAATCTTTGGTTAAGAGTTGAACGGAAAAACTAATGATAAAGAGAAAAACAAAATTATACTAAAATAATAAAGAATTAATTACGATAATAATAATAATAATAATAATAAAATTGTTTTACTTAACAAAACTTACTTTGTTTAAAAGTCACTTTTTTTTTTTTTGTTTTTGTTTTGATAATTTTAAAAACGAAAGAACATAAAAATAGAGTTGAAATAATTTGTTTTCCAGTTTTGTGTCTGTTTTTTTTTTTTTTTTTTTACATTATAATTAGTGTTTTCTTTCAAGTCATTTCTTTTTGGGATTTTAAGTGGAATTTTGGAAAATTTTTAGTTTTTGGTTAAATTTTTTTTTTTGTTTTTGTTTTTTTTCTTTACATTTCAAATGATTAAATAATAGTAGGGTCGACTTACTTTCATTATTTTACATTGTGCGACACCGGTTACGGTTAACGGTACACCCTGAGCAGTTTCAACATTTTCGCACATAGGATTTAAAGTCATGACGCTTAATGATAATCGTTGAACATCGGTAACTAGCCACCAAGCCCATGCCCAGCCGCCTACTATAGTGCGTTTCTTAGTGGAGCCACAACAGCCACCTAAAAAAAACAAAACAAACAATAAATGTTTATAAAGAGTAAACGAAAGGTTATTTTTTGTCTTTTTCAATATTTTCTCTATTGTGTTTATGGCAAGTGTCTTCTGGGTCTTCTAATGCTCTACAAGACTTACGTGACAAATGACATGTTTTATGTTTAGCGTTATTATCGAAGCTTATAAAACATAATCAATCGTTTTTGACTAACCAGTTTCAATATTCAATTTGAAATTCAACGCAATGCGTTTCATTATAGCTATGTATATAAGAGTTAACTTAAATTGTTGCATAAATAATCATACAATCTCTCCTTAGCTTTATCGCTGTCGCCCGGAAGAGACGTTTTGCGGTCTCCATTGGTGGACATACTCCCATTGGGTTTAATGATACGAAAAAACTATGTCGAAAAATCGTAAAGATTTTCTGACCGAATTTACGAATTCCATCTTCCAGTTTTAAGTTTTTGTGCTGACATTGTTCTATAATTAATTGTTGTAGACGAATTTCATCCGTATGTCAAAATCTGATCGTCATCTGATCGCTTTGCCTGTGGACGACTGCAGAGGATCTACGATTGCGATATCATAGTCATTTTCAAATGGGATAATAAAATAAAATCAACTTAACGAAGGGTTAGAGTCACAGACGAACGAGTCCCCATAACACCGTGTTACAAATCTGCCAAAAATAAATTACTTTTTTAATTCAGTCTAAAAATCAAAAGTTTTTAGCTACGCTTCCTTCACTTGTGTTACAAATCACATATTCCCGATTTCCATGATCACTTATCGATCGTGTGACATCTGCGAAATGGAATTGCTCTTAAATGGAAATTATGCTTATATAGAATGTCAATACATGTAGTTGTATGCCGTGTACATGGCCGTGACTTTCTCGTTGATAATGGGTTTATCTAATTGAGAAGATTCCTAAAAATTTGTTTTGCATTAGCTATCGAACTGAACACTAAGATGTAAGATTCAGTGTTACTTCTCTTTTAAGATCAGCGAGAGACCCCTTGTCAGATCTCATAGAGAAATCGCTAACACAATGGCCTCATGAAATTTGACAAATTTACTTTCACGATTTCGCAAATAGGGTCTAACGTGTAAAAGTCTAGAAATTTTCAATAAAAAATCGAGCAATAAATTTCGATATGTATTCGCGGGAATGAACACGAAAAAAACCAATATAGAATATATAGGTTTAGTGGGTTTCTTTGACTTTAATATTAATCTTAGATTGACAAGGCTGATGAAATTTTGATTTCTTAGAATTATATATCTATTTGTCTTAACTGACCTTAAGCATATGTATATGTATGTATGTCTTCTTTTTTATGGAAGTAAGTTTTCTTAGAAGAGCAAGAGCAAAAAAATAATCTTGAACATAGTTGTCCTCTCTTAACATCTTGCTTAAGAGAAGAGTAGAAGAAAGGCTTTTAGTCTTCTTTTTTTTTTTTTTTTTTTTTTTGTTTTCTTTCTTTACCATTTTATCATATTTAACAACTTTTACAAAACTTTTTCGTTTTAACAAACCGGTGGCCAACATTACCATCAACAGTTTTTGGTTGGAAGTTAAGGTCGACGGTACATTTGATACGCATGCGCAAATGAATTAACATGAAGTTTACAAGATACCAGAAATTACTTAAGCGAGTGGTAACAGAAAAAGAAAGCGTTTAAGAAAAAAAAAAAGAAAAAAATATATATTAAACAAAATAATCGAAAATACGTTGAAAAAGGGGTTTCGAGAAAAGCCCATAAATCGAATATTTATTAAGTAAGTCTTAAAATGTAATAAAAAGCGCAAGCGTCTAACGTAAATCAAATTTTAGTGAACTTAAAAAAAATAAAAAAATAAATAATAATATAATTTTTCTTTCATTACCACATAAATTATGCGGTGAAACAGATTGGAAGGCGTAAATAAATAAACAAAGCAATGTAAAGAAAAAGCAAGACATAGAGGAAAAAAGCGTGTACATTATTCAAGGAAATTGGAGAAAAATAAAAAAAAAAAAGATGATGGAAAATAATAGAAAAGTGAAACACGAGTCAATGTTATGCGAAAGATTACTTAACTTGTGTGTGATGATTAAGAAGAAAAAAAAAAAAAAAAAGAGAAATTCCCAAAAATATTGCTTGCTGTGCCTGACTTAAAGAGCTTATTTCGGTACACTATAACCGAGTGTTGTGACAACAGAGGTGCAAATAACGTTATTTGTTTGCTTTCAAATACCCACCTGTACCCACCTGTTTTATTTATGGGTTTTACCTCTTTTATGCCCAAGAAGACCTAAGGATGACGGTATAGTTATTTTGGCAAAAGACTTGCAACACCACACAAGACACGACATAATATACATCTTCTTGATTAGCGTCAAATTTTAAATCGCAATTTAGTCATGTTTGTCTGTCCGTCTATCCATCCGTTTGTGTACGGTCTGTTGTGTTTTTTTTGCGCAGAACGTTGGTATGGTATTGAAAATGAAGTAAATCGGGTAAAGGGCACGCCCACAGTACAATATAAACTGCAAATAACTCTGCTTCCTCGGTTTCTTTTGCCCATTACTCATAAAGTATTTATAGATGCTCGAAAAAAATTTGCTTGAAAATTATTTCATAGCTAAAAATTTTTTTTTATTTTATTTTTTTAAATCATTTTTGATATTAGTGACCACAAATGCGTGCTAACCTTTAACTGTAAAGTTGTTTGAAGTTCATTCTTAATGCGGTCGAAAGTATGTTAAATTTCTCACATCGCTTGCAATCTTATGATTATAACCGGAAAGTCGCTTTCATATCTCAAATAAACAAAACGTTGCGGACGTATATTCCCAAATATGAGTTGAGCTCAATCATAGTTCATAGAAACGATATATAAATTGCACTAAACATATGTTAGCAGCGACAGAATGCTAGCGACTGACAGACTGATTCTAAGCAAACTTCGATTAGATTGCAAAGCGTCTTTTATTTAGTTGATCGTAATGCGCTTCCTAGTTTCTTATAGGTCATAAAACATTCTTTGGGTGATTGCAAATCTATTCTCAAGAAATTGTAAAGAACTTTCTGGTGGATTGCGAGTGATTCGTAGACAAAGCTATTTCGGATCAAGTATATGTTTGCCTTGGCAAAATATAGAATATGAAGAGGCGCCTTCACTAACTTTGAGGACAATTTTTTAATTCGCTGATAAGGACACTTCCAGGGGAATTCTTCGGTCCCTTCTAATTGATGACTTGGTTTTTTTCCGTTTGTTTGCGAAATGCTTTGGAAGCAGAATGCCATCTATAATGTACGTTTCTAATGCCAGCGGTAATGCCGTGAGGCATTTTTCATCTTAATAATAAATTCACATTTTTGAGCCTTTGATACCTTCGTTCCTTTAGTAGACGAGTGCCGATTGACATAATCGCAAAGTTTGAACTAATTGAGAAAAATCGAAATGATTGAAAGTAAGCTAATGTAAAAGTCATTCCATTAGTGATAAAAAAGACGGCAACGCGAGAATCTTATTAGTCAAATTGAAGGGCACCGTTATTAACCAGCTTACAGTATTGCTGGGTGTCTAACGTTCCCGTTAAACTTCTTCTTATTCTTATTCTTCATTATTTTTATCATTCGGGTTTCTTGTTGTCAGAACTGTTGTTCGTGTTTGTGTGCATAAAAATATTTATTAAAGTATTCAAGCTTCTACTTCCACTGTTTTCAATATCGAAACGAAACTGTGTTAGTTAACGGTATTTTAATGAAAGTTGATTACTGATTAATTTTCCTAACTTCTTCTTCTCTTCTTTGCTATAATAAACGTTTAATAGTTTTTTTTTTTTTTGTTTTTTGTCATTTTTAAAATTAATTAGTTAATGAAAATAAAGTTTTTATAAGTTGTTTTTATCTTCATTTGTTTGGCATTTTTTTTGTTATTTTTTTTTTTTTTTTTTGTTTGCATGAAAAATACATAGGTTTCTGACTTTAATAACTTGAACTTGACTTTTAAAAATGCGTTTTAAATGTGTTAAATTGCTATTGTTGTTGTTAATGTTGTTTTTACTATAAATGTGCATACCTGAGGTATATAATGTTAATAAACTTGCCTTTGTTGCTTTTGCTGCAATCGTAACTATTTGTGGGATTTTCTTGAGTTTTTGCCGCTTATCTGCATTAAATTTATGTTTACGCTTATGACTGGCTGGCTGCACATGCTTTAGAAGAACTAGTTTTTGTTTCTAATAGCATTTCCTCTTTACACATTGAAATAATCGTACGTATGTATGGATGTATGTATTTATGTATGCATGCATGCATATATGTATGTGTGCATGCATGTATGTATTTTTCTAAACTTACATATATATATCCATATGTGTACATACTGTTTATGTATGTTTTATATATATATATATATATAAAATATATTATGTATATATATATATATTATGTATACATGTATGAACACATATTTTTCTGCAATTGGTTGGAGTTGTCTCTTTAGGGAGATACGAGAGTAATTTGAAAAACAATTTTTATATTTATTGAATTTTCATTCTTTCCTGAGGCCAAAATTTTGATTTAGAAATACAGGAAAATACGTTCATAATACAATCAATGAATTTCGAAAAATATTTATTTTTCTCTCGTAAAAGAAATTTTGGAAATTTAAAAAAATCATATTTTTGATGATACTTTAAAAAGATTAAACAAGTAAGAAAATGTTATCCAGTTATGATTGAATCTTTTATACATGCATCCGTTAGCATTATCTTAAATCACTCTGGGTGTTGGACACAATGTATGTATTCTTATCCTTTGGCGGTGGGTATAAAAAAGCAAATCACTTGTGCAAATAATGAAAAATGTTAACATCGAAGCCCTTCTCACGAAGAGACGAATAGACGAGGCTCTACCATGCGTACAGTAACTGGGACAAATTTGAGTCTAGAAAAAAAAAAAAAAAAAACATTTCATCTACATCTCTACAAGTATAGAATTATGTCAGGCATTTTATTTATTATTTATGTCTCGTATTTTAAGGAAAAGGCGTTTTGGAACTTACTACTCATAGCTACCTCCGAAAGTTAAGGGCTTACTATCAAGTGTTTCTACTCTTTCTATTTCCGATAGGAAGTGAGCAAGGTGCAGACAGAAAAGACATTAGATGGAAACTTACCGGTAAGAATTTGTCTGAGCTAAGCAACCTCAAGAGCAATGGGGCTCTTGAAGAAAACTGCAAAATTTGATGGAAAGACTGCTGCCAAGTGATGCATTCTTTTTCTCCCATATACTGAAAAATGTACTGTTTGTATGTAGCCAGTGAAAGAGATATCTTGTGCACTTCCCGTCGAAAGTGTTTCCGTTTGCCTAGTTGTTAATAACAATTCAACGGGTTGGTTATGTTGAAAATCATAAATCGATATTCGCCTATATCTGTCCGCCCATGTGGTGTCTGTCCGTGCTTTGGTATTCATCGTATAGATTGCGATTTCCGAAATATGTTGACGAAATGTAGGAAACGGTCGCGTTTGCATACCGGAACGGAAGCTCTTCAAAATGGATTGGATCGCATTATATATTTATGCTAATTACCCGTACGCTCTATTTTGAAAAAGGTTTTATGTGAAAAAATTTTACAATTTTCGACATTTTCGCGACGAAATTCGGTGCAAAATAATCTGTGAATCGAATAGGATCATTTTTGGAATCCCCTTCCATGTCAATATGCTTCGATTCTAGTACTTATTGATAAAAAATTAGCTCACAATTGGATTTGCATTTGGGAGCATTCGGTCCATATAATAGTTCTCATGGCCTCTATTAGGCGACACGGTATAAATAAGTGAATAGTTGAGAAGAGAATCGAAGTGAGGTATAATAGTTAATTGGCGACCCGACTTGATTGCAATTTATTTTAATATAATTTGTTTTCTGTTCAAAAGTGGAAGATGCTATTAGAGGAAAATTAGTTAGGAATTTTAGTATGGTCTTTACGTTTCTGATATATGCGTTATGCACAATCGTTGCTCCAGTATTAATATGTTAATATAATTGGAGGAAATTGTGAGAGTGTCGAAACTTTTTTCTCTCTGTCACAGCAATTGCTCGAACTTGCGAGAGAGAGAGAACGTTCACACATAATACGATAAAGTGATGTTCGTTTGCTTTATTGTTGTCGATGGAATGATGAAAGCCGTACAATACGAGACACATTTTAAAAACATACTGCACGTATACAGCTTGAGTGTAATCCAGCGCGATGTATATATTGTTCCCTACCATATGTATCAGAGAGTTGATATAGAAAATAATCAGTTCACCTGTTCATCTTTAACGGTTAATATATATGAACTTTTACTTTTTTCGCTTTAATGCATTAATATGCAACTAACAGCATGTCTGTGTTGCACTGCATTGTAATATAGAGTATTTGCTCATAATTATTTGCGATATTTGCATATAGTAGGTAAATAAAATGTTTACCACAAATGCTAGGTTTGTTCTCGGAATGAAAGGCTCCTTAAGTTCTTTAAATTGTGGCAAAATCGCTTTAAAAAACGGGTAATGAGTTATTTACATAAGCTACCGGCCGATTCCCGAAGCCCTTAATCTGCTAGCGCAATTAGAATAGCTATGTACGCAAGTGATATTCTACTTGGAGTTTTTTTCGAGTGTAACTTAAATTCTGCATTTCTGGAAAAATCTATGGCAGTGATGCCGTATTAAAATAGGTTAAGGAAGGCCATCAAATGATTGTAGACTTATTTCATATTCAGATCATTGTCTTGGAGAAAGCTGCGACAAAATAACTGAGTTATGATTCCATTCATAATATAGCGTTTTACTCCAAACAAAATCTATCAGTTGAATGCTTCATTCAGAAAGAAAAAAAAAAGAAAAGAAAAGAAACGAAACGAAAAAAAAGACGAACGAAAGAGAATTAGAAAGGAAGGGTAGATCATCTCTTAACATTTGTTTACGTCGCATGGCGCCCTGCATAAGTCAACGTCAGCCTAACTGTGACGCAATCAATTGGAAATTGGCATGAATATCAGGTGACAAACAACGATGACATCTGAATAATAATTAATCGAAACAAGTCGTATTTAAATAGAAATGTAAAAACATTGTGGTGACCTAAATAAAAACACGGCTCTAATTATATTTGAAATTATTTTTAAAACTATTAGGTTTACAAGTACATTGTCTACCGTGAAATTTGTGATTTTATAAAATCTATCTGTGCTTATACGGTATAACTTTCATTTTCAGTTTCAGTTTCAATTTCAAGTTTTCGTTCAGTGTATGTCAAAGTGTAAAGAGATGGATCTCAATTAGCACCATTTCAGGCAGAGTTTTTTTTTTTTTTTTTTTGTTCTTAACTGGTTAAGTTGGTTTGAAGTGAAAATGCAGTAAGATGTGAAATACATAGTTAGGAAATGGTTGTGCTGGGAATATCGCCAGATGGCGGTATATTATTCAGATCTGGCCCCGTGTGGTTATCGCTAATTCGGATCGATGCAATCATATTTATCAAGGCCAGCAAATGTTCAAGACTAACGATATGCCCAAATGGATCGATGGTTGAAATAGTCATCTCGGATCGTAGATAATGTCTTGAAGTACCGCCAAGTACAAGATAATATATTGCATTTTTGTTTGGCATTGAATAAAAAAAAAAAAAAAAAAAAAAAAAAAAAAACGGATGTACATGTATATAAACGCTGTGATAAATAGGATTTAAGTGCTTTCTTATTTGTTACAATTGTTTGTAATTTAATTTATTGTTTTATTTCTCTCTTTGCAATAAATCTTTGCAGATCTGCGCATGATCTATCAATTTTATTTTATAAACAAAAGCAAACTTAAGCAAAATGAGTGCAATAGCCAGCGCTGCTGGCGTAATAGGTGGCGTTGTTACTGCGGCCACTAGTAACAGCTGGTTTATACCTATGCTAATGGCAGCTATAGCTTACTTTCAATATGAAGAAATAATGGACCCTGAATCCAAGCCCAATGATACACCTGGCGATGAGATACGAGATCATTATGATTTTATTATAATAGGGGCAGGGTCAGCGGGAGCAGTAGTAGCGAATCGCTTAACCGAATTGGAAAATTGGAATGTTCTACTTCTGGAGGCAGGCGGTGATGAAACTGAAATCTCAGATGTTCCTTTAATGGCGGGCTATTTGCAATTAAGTAAAATCGATTGGAAATATAAAACAGAGCCTTCGGGTACAACCTGTTTAGGTAACCCTATAGTATAAATTCAAAAAAATTGTAATCTATACACAGAAACGTGTATTTCTTATTTCAGCTATGAATGGCGGACGCTGTAACTGGCCTCGAGGCAAAGTACTAGGAGGTTCTAGTGTGCTGAATTATATGCTGTATTTACGTGGTAGTAAAAATGATTATGATAATTGGGAGGCCCAAGGAAATTCGGGTTGGGGTTATCGCGATGCTTTGTACTACTTCAAAAAATCAGAAGATAACACGAATCCTTATTTAGCCAGCACTCCGTACCATTCGACGGGCGGTTATCTGACAGTGGGAGAGGCGCCCTATCATACTCCATTGGCTGCCAGTTTCGTCGAGGCAGGCGTGGAAATGGGTTATGAAAATCGCGATTTGAATGGTGAAAAACAAACAGGCTTCATGATCGCTCAAGGTACTACACGACGTGGGAGTAGGTGCAGTACAGCCAAAGCTTTTCTGCGTCCCGCTCGTTTAAGGCCCAATTTGCACATCTCTATGTATTCTCACGTTACTAGAATTATGATCGATCCCGTGTCTAAATTAGCTTTCGGTGTCGAATTTGTCAAAGATCAAAAGCTATATCACGTCAGAGCAAAAAAAGAAATCATACTGTCCGGAGGTTCGGTGAATTCTCCTCAATTGCTGATGCTATCTGGTATTGGTCCCCGTAAGGAGCTAATTAAGCATAGAATACCTGTGATTAAAGAACTAAGTGTAGGCGAAAATTTACAAGATCACATTGGCCTTGGAGGTCTGACATTTCTGGTAAATCAACCAGTTTCCATAGTTGAAAGTCGTTTTCACTCTATGTCCACTGTGCTGCAATATGCCGTATTCGGCCAAGGTCCTCTAACCATATTAGGCGGGGTAGAAGGTTTAGCTTTTGTCAATACAAAATATGCTAATTCCTCTATAGATTGGCCTGACATAGAGTTTCATTTTGTATCTGGATCAACGAATTCCGATGCTGGTAATCAGCTACGTAAAGCCCATGGCCTAACCGAAGCATTCTATCGTACTGTCTTTGAGAAAATCAACAATCAAGATGTCTGGAGCATCATACCGATGCTGTTGCGACCGCGCAGTAAGGGCGTTATTAGATTACGATCTGCCAACCCATTCGATTATCCTTACATTATACCAAATTATTTAAATCACGATTTAGATAAGAAAACTCTAATAGAAGGGGTGAAGATTGCAGTGGCACTTTCCCGTACGCAAGCTATGCAAAGATTCGACTCACGTTTGTCGACTATTAAATGGCCCGGTTGCCAGCACTTGCAACTATTTACAGACGTTTACTGGGAATGTATGATACGACATTATACGGTTACTATCTATCATCCGGTAGGTACTTGCAAAATGGGTCCTTATTGGGATTCTGAAGCCGTTGTAGATCCCGAGCTAAGAGTATATGGTATAAAAGGTTTGCGTGTTATTGACGCTAGCATTATGCCTAATTTAGTTAGCGCCAATACCAATGCTCCCGTCATAATGATAGCCGAAAAGGGCTCGGATATGATTAAAGAGTTCTGGATTAAGAACACAGTCGTATAGCTGGCAATCATAATGCAAGGAATTGACTGACAATCGAGCTAAAGATGGTTTTCTTTTTAGGAATTTAATGCGAGACCAAATTAATTTAAGTCGTGCCTGTTAATTTATTTAAGTGCTATTAGAATAATTATATGAAGTAAACTATTTATATAGTATAAGAAATACATTAAGTGTTGATGTATTGTGAGGGATTTTCCTTCGGCTCGGAAGCAAGCTCACCGGATATCCAAATTCTCCACAAGACAATTTATATTTGTTGTTTGTGGATCCGCATTTGGCTAAATATGATATACTCACTGATCATTTTGGATGCTCCCCGAATGTCACAACGATGTCGCAGTATTTCCTTTTGGAGAATAAATTCTTTCTCTTACTATTTTACATTTTTTATTTATTTCTGTTTAATATATTAAGATGCGTACACTTACGAATAAGGAAAACTAATATAATTTTTAATGGCATTTGTTGTGCATGCTCTATTATGCTAATTATTTTGTTGACTTTCACTCGTGGAAAACAAAGGGAAAGAGTATTGTTAAATTATTAATGTTCACTGACGAGAGATGAATGCGACTTGACGCGACGATTGATCATTGGCGAGAGAATTAAGAAAACTTTGTGGCATGTTTGCTTATGCCGGCTTCTGACCCCAGAAGAAAAATAGAAAACCCCGATATCTCGCAAACTATGCTCAGAAGAAAAAAAATGGCACCCGCGACTTCCATTAACGTTGACATTCTTCAAACTAATCGGATCTCATTTGAAACCAAATATTTTCAACTGAGATGCCCATAAATCCCTTGTCAGTCGCCCTCTGCCTAATTTTAACTTACATTCTACCATTCTCTACGCGAATAAAAGATATGTGAGGACAAAGCGAGTGTACAACTTTGCCTCTTCACAGCAAGAGAGTTTTTCTTAGACAGATAAGCCGGCTAATGTTGCATAAAATAGTAAAACTAAATTTTCTTCGATTCCCGCGTTGTGGTACATTTCGACGCGATAGGAGAGATAAATTCGCATCAAAATGTGCACCTTTTTACACGAAAATAAACAGGTAGGCAGGTATATTATTAAGCTCGACGCAGATGTTATTTAGGGCTTTATCAACTTAAGAAAGGATATCGGCAAAAAAAAAAATTGTGAGCGGAGAAAATCACTGTAAAAGTCCAGGAAAAGCGTTTTTTCGAAAACTTTCAATTTTTGAGCAGAAGGAAAGGGAGGGTTATTAAGCAAAATATTTAGATATGAAAGGGAAATTTTTATCTAAGCGTCGTACAAAGTAAGAAAATAAAAAAAAAAAAAAAAAAAATAATAACTTAAACGCGCATGCGTAATGGACATGTAAGAAATATGTAATATTGTATGAACGGCGAGTATAATTAATTTTTGAGTTATAATTTAATTTTTAAAAATGCAGTCATATTATAACCAAAAAGGGCATAACATCACTTGCACTAGCAAATTTTGATTTAAAAATATATCAAAAAAATTCAGATACAAGAAAATAACGAAAGTTGTTGGAGTTATGCTTAGGTTTATCATTTTGAAAAATCGTGTTTCGAAATAAACGCCTGCAAAGTTTTGAGCCGAGCGAGCAGCCGAGCAGCTAGTACCATTGCTTCTATGTTCAACTGTTCTTTCTATTTTTCTCTTAATAGTGGAAAGGGTTATTTTTGGGCGCATTTGCCAATGACAGGATTGCACGTTCCACTGTTTGCGTGCTGCGAAATGAAACTCGATACCTGATTATCGTAATCAACACCGACCGAAAAGCTTATACCAAAATTTTCATTTCTGGGCAAAAGGATTGAAAGTTTCCGTATCGTTCTTAGCTGCACATCTATTCAACGGCGGTCGTCTTAATGAGACTTGATTGACATCGTTTTGTTTGGAAAAGCTTTAAAATAAACGCAAATATTTCCTAAAGATATCTTTAAGTGTGTTAGGGAAATCAACAGGTAAAATATTAAGCTACAGCTTTCTTTCCCACAGATGTTCATTTAATGCAGGCACTATTCCCTTTTGTGAGCGCATAGGAAAAGTCAAGTTTTCAAAAAAAAAAAAAAAAAAAAAAAAACAACAATTTTCCTATTTTCATATTAATAAAGTCTTTCGAAATATTCTAAAGGATACAAGGTTTCCTTTAAGCTAAAGAAAAAAAAGGATAAAACTTTGTAAAAATTTATATTGGTTTCTCCTGTCAACTGCAGCGATGCCTATGGAGAGAAAAACGAAAAATGACGATTGTTTAAAACTAATAATCATTCGTCTCTTCAATCAATGTAAAGTTGCTTCTCGTATGTTCTGCTTGCACTTGACGTGTAAAAGCAAATTTGTTCGTATTCGCATTCAAATGTTAAGTTGATAATAATTGAAACTTTGAAAGCTTTCAAAATTTTAAATTAATGTACAGAAAAGCTATTATTCTATAAAAATGCAATGATATCGTAAGCATCAAATTGAACTTGAAAATGCGCTGAAATACTGATAATTTTATGAAAAAATTAGAATTAGAATTAGAATTAGAATTTATATGCGATTTGATCCGATAATCTTCTGATGTGATACATACGTTGTATTTGTCTTTTCCTTTTATATATGTATTTCAAATTTCATATCATCAATTTACGAGAATGACTGTCAGTGTATTATGCGTTGCAAATGGAAGCTTTCGATTAAATAATTGTAATAAAATAAAATAAAACGTAATTGTTGTCGTTATTTGAATAGATCCGTAAATAAATATGAACGAATCGATTTAGTTATTATTATATTAATTTTTAGAGTCTATATTATTTTGTATTATGTAAACCCATCTAATGAACTCAAATTATCTTCTTCTTCACGGTCATATTACACACGATCAATTACATGTTTATTAAACACATATCGTTCGACTACAGAAGATTGCAAGATTAAATGAATGATAAACACGGCGGTAAAGGTACTACACTTCAATTCAGTGCTAATGATTTTTGCTGGATGGGTTTTACAGTGGCATTCGCGAGCGTGGTCACAAAGAAAAATCACTTGACAATGCCTCTCTTTGTATACCGCGCTCACTTTCCGGTTCAATCGCCTCAGTTGTTCGTCGCGCAGAACTCGGCGTATTCGACAAAGTCTTTCTTTCGGACAAGTCACAATGTTCGGTCAACGAGACGGGCTATATACACTTCACGTAACTTTTAATGGGCATTTCTCTATCTTTCAACTGAAATCATAAATATAGTATGACGCACGTCACTTGCACAATTGTTATGCGTTGGGTATAAAAATGATTTAAGAGATGATCTACCTTGATTTATTCATAGGTAAAAGAAAAAATTCTGTAGCACTCAGCCTCAGTACAAACGATGGCAACATTCAAGTTGACGACATTATCGAGAGGTGGGCATTTTCGTGCATCCACTGTAATTTCCGGATTTTGCCCTTTACGGTTACGGTCTGTATCGCTGTTTCTGTTGAAGTGTCTTAATCGTACAAAAATCACGTCAAGAGAGGTCTTTGAAAAACCAGTCGGTTCAATTGATTGCCTAGAAATTTCACAAGTCTTATTGTGATCGCATAACGATATCACCGGAAGAACGCCAAGAATTTTTTCCCCTTATTTAACGTGTTTAGAATGGAAGGCAAAAATACGTGATAATAAGGGCTACAGAGAGCAGCAGAATGTGGAGTTTTTTTGTTTATCAAGCAAGTAAATTAAATTTACGTAATTACATGTAAATATGTAGGTGCGTAGCTAAGTAAAAAATTTGATATCATAAATAATTTGAATGAAAAGTAAGTAAAAATTAAATAAAAAATAATAATAAAAAAACATATAAATAAAGCAAAATATTTGCTTAAGAGATGTACTTTCCATGCTCTTACACATGTCAACGGCCTTCCTGATAACGCAAAACGTATGCAATGCCAATTTTAAGTAACAACGTACAAGGCAATTAGAATACGACTAACGCAACGCACACTTGCCATTGGCATAAATTATTCAAAGACATTGTATACCGTTCGCTAATTGAGAATAATGACGTTTCGAAGAGGTCGTCTTGGAAACAGTTTCATATAAAATTATTCTCTGTTCCTCTAAAGTGATCTCGCGCTCATTTTTCGCATAACTTAAGCTTCCGTAGAGGCGTAATATCTGAAAGTGGGCACTAGAACAGTTACGTATTGATAACGAATTACGTCAGTAATGCAACAGATTTTTAATATAATTGATAGGAGTACTAATTAAGAGTAAGTTGGTTTTCAATTATTTTTTTTTTTATTTTTTTATTTTTTTATTTTTTTTTTTTTGGGGAAAATTAAGTAATTGTTAAATATACCTTAACTAAAATTAATTACAAATAATGCTGGATCTCGTGGATAACATATTATAACTGAGCTGAGAATGTTTGATTACAAGTGCACGTTTGATTCCGTTTTAGTGCTTGAGACAGTTACCGGCCGGCTATTTTTTTTATTTTTTTTTTTAAATTTTAATAAGTTTATCGACCCTCTTTTGCTTAGTAAACTGAAAAAAGATTCGCTAGATTTAAAAGACGCAATAATAGAAATGTTTGTTCATGCCTTTATTTTGTCTAAAAATATATGTCAAGTAATTACTTTTTGTTTTTAACATAGTTTACTCGAGTTTATTAATTATCAGCAAATTTAACATTTTTTTATAATTGTTTACGAATTTTATTATAAAACGATTGAGTAAAAGCTAAAACAAAAAAAAAAAAAAAATAAATGAAAAAAAAAAGTTCAACGAAAATTTTATTGTTTTTAAAAAACCGCTGAAATCGACAGATAATCAGTAACGTTTGTGTAGTCGTCTAAAAAACATAACGAAATAAGAATCTTATATATATATATATATATATATATATATATATATATGTATATATATATATGTAAATTAATTTTTTTTTCTTACTTTATTTTCCGTTTTAAAGGATAAGTGATTCGTATCGTATTAAGATGCGTTTAAGTGAGCAGAGCATAGATTTAAGTATTCAAAGCAGTTTGAAATTTAACGTGTTTTCAAAAATAGTTTTCAGTTTTACGCTTTTTTTGGGCTTTTATGCGAACACTCACAGTCGTGCTGTTAATAAGTTTTGTGAAAGCTCAAGTGATGGTAAATGCCCTGCGCGTAGTGCGGGACCGGCGCAAGCCATGTTAGGATCTTTGCTGGAAGCTGTCGAGGCTGCTAAATGTGAACTAAGCCGGGCCGATAAATGGCCCCCTGATTATGCAGAAGAGGTTTTAATGCACGGTATGCCTACCTATGATTACGTAATAGTAGGTTCTGGTAGTGCTGGATCGGTTGTAGCCAGCCGCTTAAGCGAAGATCCTAACGTTACAGTTTTAGTTCTAGAGGCGGGCGATGATCCTCCTTTAGAATCCGAGGTTAGTAGTGACGATAGATTTTTTTCTTCAACAGCTATTCATTCAGATATCACCTCCGTTATAGATTCATTCGCTCTCATTAAGCTTACAAAATACCTCATATACCTGGCAAGATTATGGTGCATTCAATCCCAGTTGTTGTCAGGCGATGCGCAAAGGACGTTGCTATTGGCCTCGCGGCAAAATGATTGGCGGTACTGGAGGCCTTAATGGTAATGTCTTTCTATTGGGCAAATCTAGTGATTACGATGAATGGCATCAATTAGGTAATGTGGGTTGGTCATGGGATAATATTGTTAAATATTATCAAAAATCCACTACAGACCGAGGCAATGGCACTCATTCTATGGGCCATCTAATAATTAATTTTTTCCAACATACCGAAAATTATAAGCAGCTGGTGGATCTAATGAAAACTGCGTCTTTGCAGTTGCCTAACGAAGATTACAATGCTGTATATGTGGAAAATAGTACGGGCACTATAGACCGTGGTGTACGCATGAGTACGGGGAAAACTTATTTAGGCAAAGTAGGGAATTTGCGTACAAACGTGCAAGTGATTAAAGGGGCGTTCGTGACTGGTATATCAACTGATGTGAATAAGCGGGTAACGGGTGTAGATTTTTATTTACGATCTATACCCTTGAACGTGTCAGTGAGAAAGGAAGTTATTTTAAGTGCTGGTACTTTCGGCTCTCCCAAAATTCTAATGTTATCGGGTATAGGTCCCTCTCAATATTTACGAAACTTGAATATCAAACCTTTAGTCGATCTGCCAGTCGGAGAAAATCTACAAGATCACGGCATGATGTCGCTGGGATTGAAATTCAAACGTAATATTCCCTCAATGGATAATTACGATGACGTTAACAGTATTTATGAGTATTTTATTAATCAAGATGGTCCACTGGCCGCCAGTTCCACTCTAATCGGTTTCTTAAATACTAAAAAAGGTGATAATGCCGACGTTATGTTGATAACACGTCTTAGCCGACCTACGTCTTCATCAAATATATTTAAATTCTTACAATTTAAATCGGAATTGGAAAAAGAATTTCTGCAACAGACCGAAGGACATATTTTGTTGGAATTTCAGGGTGTGCTAATTAAACCAAAAACTCGTGGTGGTCTCATAAAACTAAAATCTAGTAATTTTGACGATGGTTTACTTATACACAATAATTACGCTCAAGATGCGGAAGATCGCCAGTCCTTATTGGGGTACATACGTTACGTTCAGCAATTGCTTCACACTCCTAAATTTAAACACTATGGTTTGGAATTGTTACGTATACCTTTGTCTGCATGCGATAGCTTGCCCTACGACAGCGATGAATATTGGTATTGTTATATAAGACATTTCTTTATTAGCGCTTGGCACCCGGTTGGAACATGTCGTATGGGTCCACCTGATGATCCAAAATCTGTAGTGGATCCGCGTTTACGGGTTATAGGGGTAAAGGGGTTGCGTGTAATCGACGCCAGCATAATGCCAGACATAACGAGTGGAAATACAAATATACCGACCATAATGATAGCCGAGAAGGGTTCGGATATGATTAAAGAGGATGCTATCGCCTTTGCTGAGTAAAAGTATTACAAACCTATTTGAGCAGTTTGGGTATTAATAGTTTAGCTAAATTTTCCTAGTTAATAATTTAAAATAAAGTCTAATATTTTGAATAATCAAAAAAAAAAAAAAAAAAAAAAAAAAAAAAGAAATCACTTGGAAGTGAAGTTGGCGTAAATAATTTTTTTTTAATGTCTGGCCGATCGATATTATATAACAGATCCATCGATAAAACTCTTGCACGAGAGGCAAAACAAGACGCAGTCATATATAATTTGGACAATCAGGATGATATTTACAATCTATATAATATGACCACGCCTACAATTCTTAATGTCTGAGTTCTTCATTAAAGAAGCATTGGAGCACTGACTCTTTTGCTAACAATTTGCATTGGTGTTCTGTTGCCAACATTCTCATTTTCTTCAAATTGTGCCGAAAACAATTGATCAGTATGTCAATTGTCAGGCTCACCGACAAGATCGCCATGAATTGCGCGCTAGATTGTCAATTTCTGGGTAATTTTTGATTACATTTAAGGCTTCTTCTTCTTGCTGATACGTTCAGATGCAACAATGTCGCTTATTATTAGCGAAGACATTGAACTGAAGCAGTTCGCATCGCTAAAAGCGAATTTACAATGGAAACCGTAATCTTCCTCTATGTTATTAGGATTGAAGCATTTAGGTTGGATTCAGACTAAATTGCATTTTTCGACTTTAATTCTTTAGTGAATATGATCTTAGTTGGATACGAGTTGTATGTCCATAATACTTTGCCGCGTCGCCTATAGAAAAGTACAGTTTCAATTTTCTGTTGTGCTTACCCCCACCTTTCGCACTTTCGCACTTTATTGATGCGGCAATATAATCATGTTATTTGTACGCGTCTTTGAAATGGATGCTATTCTGCTATGATTAAACTTCTTGTCGTTGTCTTAAAGGGCCAAAAGTTGCGGTTCAGATATTTCAAAAGATCTGTGCAGCGTGTCTCTCTTATTGGCTTAATAGATGCTTTGAATTTTCTGAAATTCAAAGAAACAATTCTTTGCCTGAGAGAGACTTTGTGACAAATGGATCCTCATCGTACCTGATGGTTTCTAATTTCTCTGATACTAACTAATTAATTCATAGAAACTGTTTATGTACGTTAGTTAGTTAGCTTCATCGACTAAAGTATTGATTGGCTATGAGTTTGAGAGCGATTCAGAAGGAGATAGTGCTTCTCAGTTACATTCGATATATATGAAAAATTTGCCTTCGTCTCTCTCTGCCGGATTCTTTGACCTGCTCCCCATATAATCTTTCTTATGAAAAGTAAGCCTTTATATGGCAAAAAATGTTTAATATTTTATAACGAGGCTTAATGTTTTAATATTTATAACTTAATTGATAATAGTAATCAAAGCCATCAAAATTAATTGTGCGAAGGTTTATGCTTCGGATGGCCCGCCATTTAAAGGGTTCTCATTATAAGTGAGCCTTTATATGGCAGCAAAGCCTAATTTTCGGCATAGAGTTACCTAGTTGTTGATCTGCTCTGGTTAAAATATTTTTGCTTGTTACATATATAAATTAATAGGAACTGAGTTGATATTATCCCTTGACAAACTTTTTCAAAGTAATAAGCTTGAAAAAAAAATCCTAGAACCCTATAACGGTTTTTTTTGTTTTTTTTTTTTTTTGTTTTTGAAGATGATCGAATAAGAGTTAATAACTGAAGTAAGTAAGGTAATAACAACATTAACATTCTATATATCTTAGAAGATATCGTGGTTTATTTGCGATGCGATAATTTTACTTAAAGATAAGCCAATTAATGAAAGACTGAAATGAAATGAGTACTTAACACAGTTTTGAGTGTAAGTGAACTCAGTGAACTTTGAAACAATTTTGTAAATATTTCTTAACGAAATTACATTACGAAATACGAAACCATCACCATTACCATCACTATCATCATCACCGTCATCGTCACCGCCACCATCACGTTATCCAATATTACGATACGTGCAATCGCAAATATGATTAGGAAATTATTTTTGCTAAGTCTGCAGAACGTTAACTGATATTTGAGGGAAAAATTAAAGTTAAAATTGAAACCGAAGCAGTTCTTAAATAAACTTTGACTTGAAAAGAGTTTCTGTTTCGATAAAGAGAATTTTTTGAATGGTTTTTTAAACGAAATGTTAACATTCGATGGCGCTGTAACTTTATGGCGTTTCCTTTTAACCGTTGGGCCCAGCGCTACGGTTATTTTGTTGCTTTTGAATGGCATAAAGGAATTTCGCCCAGATATAGTTGATCTTGAGAATCGAGTCGAATCCGTATACGTGGACGATTTGAGAGACAGTTATGATTTTATTGTGGTAGGCGGTGGTACAGCAGGTTGTGTGTTGGCGTCTCGCTTATCTGAAGTGCAGCAGTGGAGTGTTTTGCTCTTGGAAGCTGGCGGTGATGAGCCGTTATTAGCTGATCTACCGGTCTTGTTTCCCGCCTTTCAACGTAGCCCGTGGGATTGGAAATATCGTACGGAGCGTTCAGAGCATTTTTGTTTGGCGATGCAGAATCAACGATGTTTGTGGCCCAGAGGAAAAATGCTAGGCGGCTGTAGTTCTATTAATGCCATGCTATATATTCGAGGCAACCGCAAGGATTACGATCGTTGGGCTGAGATAGGCAATTCAGGTTGGAATTATGACAACGTTTTACATTACTTTCTCAAAATGGAAGATTTTCGTGTTAAGGGATTAGAACTGAATCCTTATCATAGTCAAAAAGGTCTTTTAACTGTAGAGGAGTTCAGATATTCGTCTCCTTTACAAAATATATTTCTTAAAGCAGCCGCAGAATTAAATGTGGTAAGAAGATTCGTGATATATACATCACTTTAAATTGTCGGAATCTTTCTTTTTCAGCTTAATCCAAACCAGGACTTTAATGGTAAATCTCAGACTGGCTTTGCTGTACCCCATGGGACATTACGGGAAGGATTGCGTTGCAGCGTTAATAAGGCGTACATAAGACCCGTTTGGAGACGTAAAAATTTACACATTTTGCTTAAAGCCTCTGTAGAAAAGCTGATAATAGATCCAAAAACGAAAGAAGCTAAAGGTGTGCAGTTCAATTGGTTGGGTGTTCAGCGTCTAATTTGGGCTTCACGTGAAATTATATTAACAGCTGGTTCTATTAGTAGCCCACATTTGCTAATGTTATCTGGAGTGGGACCGCAAGATCAATTACTAAGATATAATATTGAGGTAATACAACATTTACCCGGAGTAGGGAGAAACTTACAAGATCACATCTCCACTACAGGAGCCATGTACACCATAGAGAATTTTCAGAACAATAATCAGAAACTCTCGTTTATAGTTCCCGAGCAATTAAGCAAAGAAATGGTGGAGAGATTTCTTTTCCAGGAAGAGGGTTTCTTTTATTCTCTGCCGGTAGCAGAAGTAATGGGTTTCTGGAATACTAAATATCAAGATCCGAAACTCGATTGGCCGGATGTGCAATACTTTATGGGTAGTTTTGGTTACGGAGCAGATGGAGGTCTCTTAGGAAGCAGGGGATCGGGATTAACATTTGATAATTTTGCCAATACTATGGAACCTGTAATATATCAAGATACCTTCCTAATCGCTCCGTTGCTTTTAAGACCCAAGAGTAGAGGTAAATTGGAACTGCAATCGGATAATCCACAAGTGGCTCCTAAGATATATGCCAATTACTATGATCATCCCCTGGATATAGCAGTAATGGTGAATCTCTCCATTAGTTATATTTTGCAAAACTTGATAATTTCTTTTTTCATTCTTTCTTTTAGGTGGACGCTTTAAAGTTTGCTCACAATTTAACGCATACCACTGTAATGCGTCAGTTGAACGCTACACTTAATATTTACGTTTGGCGCAATTGTCCTAACGTCGAATATTTAGCTGATGCGTTCTGGGAGTGTTTGGCTCGTTATTACTCGCAGACTATTTATCATCCGGTGGGAACTTGTAAAATGGGTCCCTACTCCGATATCGAAGCCGTTGTAGATCCACGTTTAAGGGTTTACGGTACTCGTAGGCTCCGAGTTATTGATGCAAGTGTTATGCCTGCCATTGTAACGGGTAATACGAATGTTCCCACTATAATGATAGCTGAAAAAGGCGCAGATATGATTAAGGAGGAATGGCTTCATTATCAGGCTGGCGTTTGAGATAATCTTTTCCGGTAGTCGTTAAAGTATTTGTCAGATAACATGCCAATGAAAAATGTTCGCATTATTGTGAAAGATATGTAAATTTTATGTACAATTACAAAAGCTTATGTTTCGCGATTTAAGCTATTCTTATATATATGTATCTTAAGGATAAGTTTCATAAGGCCGTATACCCTAAAACGAAAAGATTTTCTTTAACTAATAATCTGTGTAAATCCTTTCTATTAATCGATTCCCATTCCCAATTGAAATTCGAAAGAATATGAAGAATTTGTACTTCAAATGAAAGCCTATCCGCCCTGAGTGGCCGAGTCGGCAAAGAGTCTCGACTAACAACTCAATGTTCCTGGGTTCAAAACCCAATTGTGGTCGAGTTTTCAGCAAAAACGATAGCTTGCGACGCGCTAATGCTGTTTAGACAACTCATAGTGAATTAGAATTTATTCCCCTGGCTAAATTAACAATAATAACAATAACAAGTAAGAAAATTGTATTCGGTTGCGACTGAATTTTTAATACCCATCACCGTTATCCTATAAAAGATCGAGAAGAAGGAAAAATATAATTTTGCATATTTTATAATATTGGGTGGGCGTGGCTGTAGAATAACTTTATGAAAATTTATATTATATATACATTGATTGGCTATGAGCAACGAGGAAAAGACATGGAAAGCACCGGATATTCTTAGTTTCGCTTATATAAGCGTGAGAATATTTTAGACGTGTTCTTTGATCGGTTTGCGCTATATTCGAACTCTTTTGCAAATTTGTAGGCGATATCTCTCTTTTTTGCGAACGGGACTGTATACAAACCACAGATGCCATACAGTTTGGTAGATCGATAAATGGACGGAGTGACACGGACGGACAGATGGACATGCTTAGGTGGATTCCGAGCTTGAAGCTGATTAAGAATTTATATATTTTTGGGATTTTTGGAGATTGCTTCTTTCTTCGTTTTGTAAATGTATTGGAAAAAAGAAGAAAATTAAATTTTGATACACTATAATAATGGGCGGACATGTTAAATGTGCCCCATTTACAGCATCGCAGCATAGAACATATGTTCAAATTTTTATAGGTTCATTTGCTGCATTCCATTTGAGGAAAAGAGTTTACGTGGTACTGTGGCCGTGTCTTCCGATCGATTTTTCTTATGTTGCATGTCAACCTGCGTGCATGAACCTATGCTTCCGTGATGGATATAATAATAATAAAATTAAGCTCAAGTGTATCCGTCTGGGTGACCGAGTAGGCAAGTGTCTCGACTAGCAACTCAGTGGTCGTGGGTTCGAATCTCAAGTGCGGTTGAGTTTTTAATAAAGGCCGATAGCCTTAGATGCCAGTGCTTTTAAGAGTTTAGTCTTAGAATTTATTTCTCTGGCGAAATTAATAATAATAATAATAATAATAAATAAGCTCAAGTATGTTGTAACAATTTAAGAAAGAGTTAGTAATATACAGAAAACTAACTTCTGGGTCTTACGTCAATTCTTGCGTATTCATCTAGACTAGAATATCGTGTTGCCCGCATTGTAGTAAACCAATTTTTACTTGCTGCTCGTTACTTGTCTATTATTTAAGTTACGTCTTAGAAGGAACACTTTCTTATTGCTCAAATGAAATTGAGATCTATTTAACAACGTTATCGTTCTATGTATTTTGCGCTTGACCGCAAAGCAACTCTGCGAGGGTTTGGCAATAAAAATGCCCGATTAGATTACGAGCGGAAAGGAATTAGAAATTGTAGTCGCGGTAAGTCCATAATGTGGTCATAAAAAACAAGGGTCGAGAGAAAGTTAAAAAGTGCACAATACGGATGGCAGCATATGGGCCCGCTAGACTCCACGTGCATAAACATAGCATTCTCGTTTGCGAAGAATATGCGAAGACGAAGATAGCAATTCTTGCTCGGTGCAAATGATACCCAGAGTTATTTTTTATGAAGCAACCTCATCGTTAATGGGAAACTTTTGTAAGTGTAACAACAATTTAATCGTTTTCGAAGTAATTGCTCGATGTCGGCATAGGTAGACTTTTCGATTCTTTTCGATTCTTATTGATATGTGAAATTTTTTGCTGTAAAATTATTTTTAAATTTTTTTTTTTTTTTTTTTAAGTGTAAGAGTAAAATTTTTTAATAATATGTTTTTTTAAATAAAAAAAAAGAAGTATTAACTTAATAAATAAAACATTAACAGGCAACAAAAATAAACGCTACAAGTTTAACAAGTTTTTTTTTTTGTTTTTTTTTTTTAAATGCGACATGTTCTGTAAATGCGACAGAAAACATCGAGTAGGAATGCGGCAAGTGTGCACTGTGCCAACATATGGTCATGCGAAGCATAATAGCGAGATATGCGCATAAAAGTACATGTAAATAAAAAAGTTTATAAAAAATTTAATAATAATTATAAGGTTCTGCAACAAAATTAAATGATCGATCGAATGATCAGTTCAGTACGGAATCAAATGCCAACGGGTTAACATGGCTGGGTTAACGGAAGGGCAAATTATGCAAAAAGTGTGCTTAGCAATAATTTTATGCAACGTAGCTCTTAAGGCGAAGCTTGTAAATGCCGGAAGCGATTTCAACGATTTAGATAATTCGGGAATATTCCTAATCGACTTGAAAAGTGCTAAAGAAAGCGCTCTGCAAGACTTGGAAGATAATAAATTTAAACGGCAAACAACTGGATCAGATGGGATAGCGACATTTGATACGGGTATGGCATCAATATAAAAACTTTCATTTTATTACAGGATTTGAGAATTATTTTTTTACTCTTATGGCAGATTTAATCCGTAGCCTTTTGGAACAGAGCAATAACAACAATTTAATAGCAGCTTCCGCCGTATCGGAAACACCCGTACCTTTACGGTTAATGCGTCTCTCTAAGAACAGTGGTCTTCGGCGCTGATCTTATCTGCAAGTCCAAATTGTATTGTCGATGAACTTTAGCAAAACTGTGTTATGAAATTTATAAAAATTTTCTATGATCTGTGTGGTTGACTATTTTTAATGTCAATGTCGATGTATTCAGTGGAGTGAAAACAGTCTTTGTTTCATTGGTGATCGTTCTTACTGTTGTCTTTTTTTTATTTTTTCTTTTTTTCATTTTCATATTTATTGGAATTTCCTTAGTCATGCTAATTAATTTTGTGGATGTTGTGGATTGATCATTCAATTTATAATACAAATTTTACATTTCAATTGACTCTGGAATATTTTCAAGTGTTTAGAAAGACATTAATTCAAGCATGAAAGTTAACAGTTTGCGTCAAGTTTTAAAATCGCTGTATTGTTGCGCGCGAACTGATTCTTGACCAAATATTTGGCAAATTTTTGTACCCAAGAGCTGCGTTGCGTTGAAAATGATTTTTTTTCACATTTTTTTGAAGACTTTTACTAGAGACGGTGTATGAACACAAATTCTGAGTAACCTGAAAGGTCACCTTTACAAAAAAAAAAAAAAGAAAAGAAGAACAAGTATGATAATTATATTCGGTCAGAACCCAATATTGGGATGATGGGAATCATCGTTATCCTGAAAAAAACAAAAAAAGTGAGAGAAGTGAATTTGGATTGGGCGCGGCATATTTTTCCTATTTATAAAATAAAAGTATTTGCCGCATAGGCGTGTGGGCGTTATAGGCGTGTCCTTGCAAAAGTTGAAGCCATTTCCAAACTCCTTTGCAAATTCGTAGGCGATATCTTCATTTTCGCATGTGGTCACTTTTTTGCCATTTTTGTACACATGCTACAGCACCGTCCATGGAATATGTATTCAAATTTTTCTATATTTATTTGCTATAGTTTATGAGTTTATGAGGAAAAACCAATTTTTTTTGTTTTCCTTTTGAAACAGAGATGTTTTCAGTTTACGTGGTGCTCTGAGCGTGCCGTTTGACTTATTTGGCCCATTTTCAATACCAACCTGTGTGCAACAGCTTCTCATGTTTTTGTCAAATTTGAAGGCGATAGCTTCATTTCTGCGGTCAGGAGAATCTTTACAACAGGCATTACGCAGACGGACAGACATTTAGGCGGACAGACAGATTTACTTAAATCGATTTAGGATTTGATGTTGATCAAGAATATATATACTTTGTAGGGTGTCTGGATTTGTTTATACGTAGAGATCATATTTTGTTCTTGAAAGCCGACATCAAAGCAGCCGAGATCTGCTTGTTTTTCAGTTCAAACGATGCCAATCTTTCCTTCTGGCGCAAAGTTTTGCAAATCGTACCGGCATTTTTCAGCGACTTTTTCCATTACGAATTGATAAACACTCAAAATTGCACGCTTTGATTTAATATGAATATTCGTATGAAAATGGAGTGCAGGATTTTCTTTACACAAGCTTACACAAACAAAAGACCAGTTGCACGCTGTGTGCGGGGGCTTGGCATCGTCACGTTTGCGCAGCTGAAAAATGAAACGTAATCGTATCAATTTGGATGGGGATGTCCATCCAATGGGGCTTAATGTTCATCGGATTACGTTTAGGGACATAGCAGAGACTATGAACGGGACCAAAGAATGCGTTTGTCTCATGCCGAATCAAGATTTAAGCATGACAAAGCTAATCGTACGTTGGATGCTAAGTTCGCCTACAGAATAGAATAAAAGCATTGAGTAATAAGTCGATGACTACAATAGCAAAATGCAAATGCATTAATTGAAATGTAATTCGCTGTCACCGCTGTCGCTACCGTAGCCTTCATACATATCTAGCCCCCAGCGGCTGTTATCTGTGTCAACAGATTCAGACTCTTATAAGTTCTGTTTCAAGTAAAAAAAAAACAAAAAAAAAAAAAAGATTTGGATCATATTATGAAACTGGAGTGCATTTTGCAAGTCTTAACAAATCGCTCTATGAAAAAGGTACGGATTTGTTCAATGATCGTTTGAGTGATTCTAAAAATTTTAAAAGGAGAAAGCAGTGATGAATAAAACCGAATGACTTTTTAATTGACCTCCATTGTTTAAATAATGAACGTTTTACTTAAAAATAAATACATATTTATCAGCATTGTTCTCGTAGTGCCAAAGGCCATGCGTTTGCTTTCTTTCGAATATATGTTACATAGCAGTATGATTGGCCAAGATATGAGTTCAGTAAGCAAATTCAAATTTTTTTTTTAGTCTTTGACATATTTAATTGAACATAGAGTAAAAAATGCATTCATTATAACGTTACTTATCTGTTATAGATATGCAAAATTTTGATAACTTTATCACCGACCAATAAACAGGCGATATCTGCTTGGAATGTTTAAATGAGTTGAGCGATAAAATTTTTTCTTTAAATTTCGCTTTTATGACATTTTTTTTTATAGCCAACCGGCAATGCGATAAACTTATTCACACCACAAGTGAGGTGAAGAATATAAAATAAAAAAGCAACAAAAAAAAAAAAAATAAAAAAAAATAAAACAAAGAAAAGAAAACTTAATGCACACAAAATACTCATTAAAAGGTTTTATGAATGGTCTGTATCTGACTAATGTTATATAAAAATTTGTTTTTGTTTATGATTTTTGTTTTTTGTTTTTTGTTACAACTCGTCGCTGTGATTATCATAGGCTTTAACATGTTTAACCCATTCGGTTTTGATAAAATCTGTAGCACGTTCGGCAATCATTATGGTTGGAGCGTTTGTATTACAACTGGGCAGCTTCGGCATAATGGAAGCATCTACTACTCGTAAGTTATCAACGCCATGCAATTTTAAATGATGATCAACGCAACCGGTTGGATCAGTTTTTGGAGCCATTTTCACGGTTCCCACATGATGATAAAGAGTTGTAGAGAAATATTTGATATAGCATTTCCAATAGTCGCGTGATTTAAATTCGTATTTATCGCATTCTTCTATAGGAATATGAGCGATTTCGCTGCGACTTTTACGAAATGCATTGGTCTTTTCTAAGCGCATTGTATAGTCTAAGCCTTTTAGCAACGTATCGACTTCTTCTGGGCTCGATAAATAATTAGCATCGATAATGGGCTTATCCCGATAATCAGAGGATTTTAGTTTTAAAACACCTTTAGATAAAGGCTTGGCGAGTGTAATATACATACCGAGGAGATGGGATTTTTCAACTATAGCCCGGAAGTAAGGACGATAGCGTTCGGCAATTGGTATACATCTCAAATAGACATCCAAAGCTATAAAGTCACCCCGAACCACTGTGATATGGTGTATTTCAAGGTTCGGATAAGGTTCGAAGTTTTCGTTAGCGTCTGTTTGTAAAAATGCTGTTAACGGAGCGGTACCAGTTGTGCTAAAAGGCCCACGTCTATGTATTAAATATTGATAAATGTTATCCAATATATGGAGTTCTGTCAAAGATTCACTAAGATTTTCATATGCCCTCCAAAAAACGGGTACATAAACGTGATCTTGCAGATTTTCACCTATGGGTAAATCATGCTTAACAGGTATGTCGAACGATTGTAAAAGAGATCTTGGACCAATACCAGAAAGCATAAGTAATTTAGCACTATCTATTGTACCGGCAGATAAAATAACTTCTTTGCCTACCTCAACTCCCATTAAATATTTATCGCGTAGCATATACTCTACTAAGAGAACGTGTTTTTGATTTTCATCAAAATGAAGTTTAGTAACTTGAGCATTTTTGATAACCTTCAAGTTGGGTCGGTCCATCACTTTACCCAAATAAGTTTTTCCGGTGCTCATACGCTGACCATTACTGACGGTCGATTTCACGGTTGCGTAACCCAGATAACTACCTTCAACGAAATCGTCAACTTTCGGTACACCCAATTCTTCAGCGCCGTTATAGATAGTTGAGTAAAGATCTTTCTCATAAACGGGATATTCATTTAAGGTCACATATCCTTGCGGATGAGTTGAATTGCCAGTTGGTCTTATAGACTTTTCAAAATACGGCCAAACGTCATTGAAACCCCAGCCAGGGTTACCTTCAGCTAACCACTGATCATAATCTTGACGATTTCCACGCACATATAACATTGCATTGATGGCACCTGATCCGCCTATAAATTTGCCACGCGGCCAATAGCAACGTTCGTCGTTCGTAGCCAAGCAATAACGTTCATTGCGTTCCGAAAAGTAATTGTAAGTGTAATTCGAATGTTGCACGCCAAAGAACAGCCTGGGTATCTAAAGCGAGTTACAATGAAAATTGATTTGATTTTATGGCAAGAAAACTACTATCGTTACTTCTGATTCGATGGGAGGATTTCCTCCCGCTTCCAGGACTAAAATACGCCAATTAGGATTCTCACTTAAGCGACTGGCGATCACAGAACCCGCCGATCCCGCTCCTATCACCACAAAATCATATTTTTCGACACCTTTATTCAAGGCTTCATCGCCATAATCCATCGGCCAATAACTATCAGTTGCTATCTGACATTGTGCTGCTAATAATGCTTGCATTAGTACATTAACCATGGCATTAACTACACCAACATGGGGTTGGGTACATAATGTGTTATTAGGTGTTAATAAGCTGATTGCGTCCATTGACGTAAGCGTTAAGTTAACAAAGATGCAAAGATGTTTGCAAACAATTTCTTACTATTATTTAACTTTCAAGTATTTTAGAGTTTTAACGACACGAACAGCAACAGCAGTCATACTATAATCAGAATCATTTTTGATCGAATATATACTCTCTGCGGTCACTGAGAATCATTTAAGCGATTATTTTATATATGTTTTTCATATATACATCTATATGAAATGAATAAAGAAACCTACGAATATCTATTTATAGAGAAGAAGAGAGCAAAAAAAAAAAAAAAAAAAAAAAATTAAAACGAAAAGAGAATAACTATAAGGAGCTCATAAAAGTTGCTCCAAATTTATTATCATTATGTTACTCACTGTAATTGTTAAAAGCAAAAAAGCTTTGCTGCTATCTTTGCACTGTAAAAACAACTCTTCTGTGAACATGATTTCAAAATTTCAAATTCTGCTAAGTACCTAGCAGTGGTCTCTTAATTGCCGAACTTTTTTGAAGCTTTAATAAAGCTTTTCAAATTGTAATATAAAACAATAGGAAACCCGCCTCGATTAATGCTAATTAATTATTAATTGAATTTAAAATAATGCAAAACTTAACACAATTTAAAGGAATTAATGAAAAATTAATATTTCTTCTGGTAATTAATTTTAAAGAACTATATGCCTTTCACGCTAAGCATATATGATTTTCTTCTTCTTCTTTTCTTTGTTATGGAATGCGTTTTGCGCTACTTTCATTTAGCGCAAACCTACCTATTCGCAAAATCTTTACTATAAGTGTTGTGCAAGATGTGCTATTATTATTATTAGCGTTTGATTCATCCGAATATTTACAAGATGTATAAGTCAATTGAGGAGGAATTAAATAAAATAAGATCACGTTACTTGTAAAATGCGCTTTACATGAAAAAACCGAGTCGTTTCGAGAAGTAGAACTTATGCCCGAAAGGAATTTCGTTAAATGCGTTAGGAATGCCGTTAAAAGGCCAAGCAAACTGGAAAGAGAGCCCCGTAATCATGATTCCTGAATATTTTGTAAGGAGCAAATTTGGAATGCAGCGAACTCACTTCACATACAAAAAACCGGACTAAGTATTCATAGCTGGTAACTTCCGCTCAACGCACGAATGCGTGTCGAATGTTGAACCAGTTTCCTAAATTTCCACTTAGGTGACAAGTGACTACTAGCGTACAAAGCCAAACCTGCAGAGCTTTCGTCCATCTTGGTCCGGACACTGAACGAGGGCCGGATTTACAAACGTCAAATATTTGTTTTAGTATTATATGTTAAATTTTGTTAAATTTGTGAATAAAGTTTGGTATAAAATTGTAGATAAAAGTTAGAGGAAGCTCGTCTGCATGGCCGTCGACCAGGGGGTTGCCATTCGAACGTTGTCTATCGCATTCGTGTGTTAGAGTTTTGCTTAGCACACTATTAAGATTCGGTGCCATACTTGCCCAAAATCTAATGTATATCCTTAGTGGTGATAGCAATTTGGGCACTAGAAGCTGCGCACAAATACAAATGCGATAAACACATCTGTTTGTGAATACGCTTGCTTCCAATATTTTCTGCCGCTTTCATTACTCTCGGGTCGAAAACGAATGGAACCGCGAAAGGAAAGTGACTCTCTCTCTCTCTCTCTCTCTCTCTCTCTCTGTTCGTCTTTTACTTTGTGATCGAGAGAGAGAGAGAGAGAATTGTTAGGAAGTAAGGAAGTAATAACTTTGCTCCAATATGCAATATGCACGAATAGGCACATCCGCTGTGTGCACGTAAACCGCGATTTTCTGAGCAAAAAAACTGCATATACATGTACGCAAATAATTGCTTATCACTATTATTTTATATGAAGATAAGCGCTTCTACTCTCTTAAGGGAATGCGAACGAAAAGTTTTAATCGTCTTAACGTCCACCCAATCCTTGGCTACACATGCATGTTCATGTCTTACTGAAAACTCAACGCTATATTCGGCTATTCGGTTTTACCGCCGATATTTTATTAGTTCCTCTAACGTGGGCCATGGTGTTTTGCCTTTTCGCACTTTGGATCATTCCCACAATATTTTATAGACTATTTCACACGTAACAAGCAGGAAAAGTAATGCTTTCCCCGTTAGCTGCTTTTTTCGTAGCACGGAACTCGACTTATTGGAAGTTCCCGTAAACTATGTTTTCTGCATTTCAATTTATACGTTTATGGACAGTTAAAAAATGGGATCTGAAGTAATACTGCGATAAATGCTTGCGTACAAATTCATACCAACCTAAGTAGGAATATGTTTATACGCCATCTACCTATTGGTAATCAAAGCATTGTCTTAGTCTTATTCCTTGTCAAAACTACAAACAGACGAAATATTTTACTACACATCTAGCAAATTAATTAAAATTTGCAATTTTTTTTTTTCTTTTTTTTTTTAGCTTAATAAAAAGTTTGCAATTTGACTGGTAGTGTGCGTTTAAAAAAGACAGTAAAAAAGTTTCTGAAAATAATTGAATATATAATTAAGGATGTATGCACTTATCTCTTTCACATACTTTGTTAAGCAATTCGCACATCTACAGTTACAATATTACAATGGTTAGATATAAACAATAAGATTAATTGCAGGCAACACTTGAAAATTCATTTTTATATCTCCGAGATAAATGTTTGTTTGTTGCTCTTCCCTTTTTCTTTTTGATTTCAGCTTTAATTCGTTTTCAGTCTTCATTGACTTATAAAGTGGCGTAATAATAATCTTAATTTTATTTAGATATATAAAACAACCAGTATTGCATAGCATTGAGTTAATTAATGTAAAACGAAAAAAGAAAAAAATACACCGATATGTCCGGATGGATATTATTACACTGGTCACTAAATAGAAGGAGAATATTTCCCAATGTTGGTATAGTTAATGCCATGGTTAGTGTACTAATGCAAGCATTATTAGCAGCACAATGTCAGATAGCAATTTTGAATAATGGCTGAATGGTATGCACAGAAAAATAAAGGGCTGACAATTAAGGAAAGTTAACTATCGATTTTTTACACATATAAAGATAATTATGCCGCGCCCACGGAAGAGTTCAAAGCAGCAAAGTATGGTGCGCCAATTGCAGATAAGAGAGAGGTAAAGGGAAAATTTTTTAAAAATATTCAACTTTAACCCTATTCTTCACGAAACCACGTTTTTTCGCTTGTCAACGGATACCCGGCGTGTGGTACAGGGTATATTAAATTAGTACACACAGAAGGGATTAAGATAGACCCAATTTTTATTATATCGATCGCTTCGGAAACATAACCTGAATTGATCAAAGCCTGTCTGTCCGTCTGTCCGCGTGTGCATGTAAAATTATGTTCAAACTACAAGTCGAAATTTTTGAGATATATTAATGAAACTGATTGACAGCACGAGCGCATTTTCAATAGCGTTCGAATCGGTCCACTTTTGCGATCACTTCCCATATAAGGCCCTATTCTGAAAAGTCGTTAGACTGGGGAAAAAAAATGCAATTTTAAAAAATTTCTCGGCAAAAGTGATTAAATAGTGATATTTCGCCATTCTAAAGGGATACGAAAACTTTGGATCGGATGCGGAAACCTTTGAGCTCACACTCTTATAACAAAAGGTGAAGTTCATACGACAAATGCTCCATCCATGAAGCATTGAAAATTATATCTTACCAGCAATTTAGCATAAAAAATTTATCTGTTCGAAATATGGACTATTGGAGTCCCGTCCTAGGTGAGAATTAAATATGTACTACATTAGGTAGCGTTTTTGGCCCACTTCCCCGTAAATACGCACATAAAGTATATACCTTTATGTAAAAACAGGATATAATGTTTGTGTTGTATATGAAAAATAAGAATTGTGTTAGACAATGCGGTGTAATGTACTTAATGGACGACGAATGGATAATGTTCCTACTTGTTTTCAAGGAATATATTAGGCAGTTAGGCAGTTTTTTTAATTTCAATTTTTAAAGAAAAATAATTCCACGCTTACTCGAGCTTACGTCATATTCTCATTTTTTATATGTAGAAATCCAAACACATTTAAATGAACAGATTCCGAAAAATGATTTGATTTTTAATAGACACAAGTTGATTTTACCGCTTAAGTATTAGTTAAATTGTGAGATTTGTGACGTCAGGTTTCTGAATCAATCGGATTGTGAGTAACAGCATTCGTTTGGTCTTTATGGTCGTGAATTGAACGAATCCGGCCCGGCAAACGAATATGGTTACGTTATCTTGAGGTAGTCAAGAATGCAAATTCCGTTTGGAAGCTTTAGTAAGTATTGCTAGGCTTTACAAACCGAAGAAGAGATCCGGTAGGCGCGTGTCCCGGTGCTGTGGGTATACAATTATTGTATATTTCGAATTTTTAGAGGCAAAGGTATCTGAAAATGTTTAGCGGTCGTTCTGCATTTCAAGTAAGTAAAATGTTAAGCCTCCAGCAATTGTTAGATATCGTACACTAAGAAAACTAAAAATGATTAAATTTTATAAAACTTTTCAATTCTATTATTATTGCTATTATTATCGCACACAATTCATTTAAACCATAACAATAAATTGTAGGATCAAAAGTATGATGAGCACTAGCAGCTAAGACTATCGGCTTTTAAGATCGATTAGATGGTTAGTTTAACAGCTTTAATAGAGTCAAATGTTTTATTGGTATTAAGTTCTTCAGGCATTTTCAAGACTTCCAAAGGTTTAGATCTTCGAATAGTAGATGGGTTTTGGCATTCATGCAACTATATGTTTAATCGTAAAATGTTGTCCATAATCATATTCGATGGTAGATTTTTTCTTCTTCAAGACATTTCTTTCCGCAAGTCAGTATAGAGTTTTACTTTGCTTATAGTTCTAGTGAGTGTTTAGCGCAAAGACCCACTAGGCTGCCGTCATCTCCCTATGTCATTCCCTTTTTTCAATTCTTCTTCTTATTCTTGCCGACCGTTACCATGTTACACGGCATAGCAAGCATCAACTGATGTGTTGCAATGGTATACTCATGTCGCTTTGTCGCATATGTTTGATTATATAAGTGAAGCGAGATTTTGGCTTTACATGGCCAGGCGGGTTCTTTTAACAATAAACTCAACGACATATAGAATCATTTATGGATTTATTATTACAAGATTAATTTTTTTGGAAATCATTTTCAAAATTTCTTCAAGTATCTCAAACATTAAAAAGCACATCTTGTAAATGTTTGTTATTGTATATTTTTTGGTTAAGTTTGTTGAGCGGTTATGGTAAGTTAAGGCGAGTGAGACAACAATGCTAACGCTGAGACATTTCACTACGATGACAGTGCACAGTAAATAAACTCAGGCTCAGTTGCACTAGAGAGTCTGACATACAACAATATGGTGCGCATGCCCAAACGGTAAACGAACTTGTTTCTGTTTTTTTTCGTTTTTCGTTTTTCGTTTTTTTTTTTTTTTTTTTGCATTTTTTATAAGTTTATTAAGCCAAAGAAAAGATTGATATATCCAGCTTTTTATAGTGATTGTTAATATTCTTCTTTTTTATTAACAAAAAAACAAAATTTCCAAAACATAAACACAAGTTGATTGGCCGAAAAGGCATTGGAATGCAAATGAAAGTAATTATAAGGCAGTGAAATTAAGTGTTTGCATAAAAAAAGTAAAGAAGCAATCGAATAAAAAATGTCCATCAATATCGATATTGAAAATTGAAATATTACATATATATATATATATTTATATATATAAAAATATATTGAAAATAAAAAAAATTAAATAAAATATATGTTAATAATAAATTGATTAAATTAATTAATTAGAAAAGAATTGATAAATGGCTTTAAGTGCGGTCGTAGCTTCCGTTGGTGGTTTAATATTCAAAGCCAGTGCGGCTAATAAAGCAGCCGCTACGGCTGGTGTAGCGGTGGGTGCGTCTAAACTAGGTCTTGCCATAGCCGGTGCGGTTAAATTGGCCACCACTGTTATCGGTGTTGGTAAATTAACAATTTTGCCCTTTCTTGTAGCCGCCATTGCCTATTATAATTACGATCTATTCGATCCGGAAAATCGTCCATTTAATGTGCAAAAAATCGATCGTTCCTATGATTTTATTATAATCGGTGGCGGCTCGGCAGGTAGCGTTCTAGCCTCTCGACTATCCGAAATATCACAATGGAAAGTTCTATTACTAGAAGCGGGTGGTCATGAAACCGAAATAACCGATGTCCCACTACTCTCGTTATATTTGCACACCAGCAAATTGGATTGGAAATATAGGTAAGTGTGCTGTCTTTGTCTCTTGTTATGCGCTAAATTTTATATTCGCGTTAACTTTCTTCACAAATTATGCATAACTCTTTCGCCATTTGCTATATTGGTTTAGTTCATTTATTTCAAGCCTTGTTTTTCATATTCATCAAATTCACAGTTATGTTTTGCAAATGTTGTGTAACTTTTCAATATACGTTATATACATATGGATATCTGTGGAAACGAGTTTTTATCAGTAACACTTTTTCCTTAACTGTCTGCTATTTGATAAAGGTTCGTTGCTTTGGTGAAAATTGAAAGTATTTTTTAATATTTCTGCCTTTCATATCACATTAGCATCAGCAGCAGCATCAATTCAATATTCAGGTATCTTAAGGCTTTACTAACGTTTCGTATCTATGCTCAATTGACTAACACTCACAAATTTTGATCAGAAAAGTTCGAAGAAAATTAATTCTTGATGAGCATGAAACTCAACGTCGATACGACTACATTGCAATAAAAAAAAAAAAAAAAAAAAAAAAAAAAAACCTCCTGAGGTAAGTTTTTTACTCACAAGATTCCTCTATAATTAAGGTGAAACGTTTACCAGGACCTCTTAAATATTGAAAAGAAAATAATTTCTTAGCTAACTAACCTACATGCGTCCAATTGGGAGAATATTTTCCAGCGTTAATATGTATTTAAGGATTTTCCGCTAGGCATATTAAGTTAGTGCGGTCATATGTGATACGCAGAAGGGATTAAGAGAGATCGACCTTTTATTATACCGATCGATGTGAATCATAATGTGTGATCATAATATGAATCGATTTAAGCCTGTCTTTCCGTCTGTCCGCCTGTCCGCCTGATGTCTGTCCATATAAATTTATGTTCAAGCTACAGGTCGCAATTTTTGCGATATTATGATGAAATTTGGTAGAATGACGTGTTCTGACCGACGGGCAAAAGCAGGACCGGTCCACTTTTTCGATCAATCCCCATATAACACGCTAGTCCCGTTATATGGAAAAAACTTGTACTTTTTGAAATTTGTCGGCAAAAGTTGCTAAGTAGTCGTAGTGTTTCGGTTTTCGAAATTGGTATGAAAATTTTGAACCAGCTGTAGCAATTTTTCAATCTCCCTCTCTTATAACGGAAACTGAATGTCATACGATAAAAAGGTGTATTTTTCAATGCTTCACGATGAAAATTATACGAAATTATTAATTTAACATAAACAAAATAACTGTACCATATTTGGACCATCTCAGCCTATTTTTTGAATCGTTCCCTAATAAGGATTTTTACGAAAATTGAACCTTTGTAGAGCAGAAAAGGGTAGGTTTTGATATGTGGTGATGAAAATTGACCCATAATAATAATTTCATACCGATATAAGAATTATTGTAGACAATGTGGTTTAGGGTATTTAATGGTCGGCTTTGGCCAACTATAATGTTCTTACTTGTTAAATATCAATTTTAATGGAGATAGACTGCACTTAAGATGTATTTGTACCGTAAAAAATACGGTAAATAATATCAGAGACTTTGCAGACTATAAAGAGTTGAGTTCAGTACTTCGTAGATCGGATATGATCAGTATGAAGGCGATTTATTATATGTTTGTCTGTCTCTCCTGTCAACGGATATAATTGAAAAATAATCTTATGTTTTTTCTTATTGATAGCGTTTTGCTTAACAGATCGTAAAGACTCAGAAAGTTCGTTATATACGTATACGTCCTTAATCGGCGGGAGGAAATATTGATCTTGACTGATTGAAAAATCATTGACATTATATACAAAACGAAATGAATTAAGAATAGTTAAGTGAGTAAACTAAAGCAGAGGAATACAATTAATTCGGTCAATTTCTTATATTAATCAAGCATATATATATATATATATCCATGGATTATGATTATTTTCGAGCTCGACATGTTTTTAATACCTAAGCAAATTGGCCTTTGGTCGCAAGTATTCAGCTAACAAAGGGGCGTATATAAGGATAAATGTAACTTTGGCCGTTTTAAGGCTTATATCAAATTTAATATATTAGCATTTTTTGCTCTAGAGTTTATACAAATATAAAATTATAAAGCGAATTTAATTTTTTTTTTTTTTTTACTTAATAAGTTTGTACTCCTTTTACATACAAAAAAAAAATAAATATATATATATATATATATAATCATATATTAAGCAATTTATAACGCAAAGTTCAATGTTGCGCTCGTAACTATTAAAAAAAAAAAAAAAAAAAAAAAACCCAAAGATTAAGTGATAAAATTGTCAACAAACTGCTTTTAAATCAACATTTCTTGCTTTAACCTCGGTTTTATTAAACGGACAATTGCTTTGCCTGCTGTCTAAAACGCTATATATACATAATATAATACATCTACGATTGATTAGTCACTGCGATTTCCCCTCAATTAAATAGAGAAAGACTTGCTCATCAAGCAAGATATCATATTGTGGTGTCTTAAATACACCTCCTCCTGTATCACGATGACAATAATCAACAACAAGTCACTCGGTCAGTCAGTTAGTATTAAAGAATTACTTGATAAAAAGCAGAAAGAAAAGCAGGATTTTTCAACGCGTTAATGTGCCAGTAGAAAGTGTTTTGAAATTTACAGAAGCAATGAATGATTGCTTGACTTTCATGACGATTAGTTAAATCGATACTTTTGTCAAAAGATTAAGGAATACACAAAATAATGTTTGTTTTTTTTTTTTTTTTTACTTTTCTATCGAAAGTCTTTACTTCTTCATTGCTGAATTGATTGCGAAAAGCAAATTGGGAAGAGGAAACTCAATCAATCAATCAATCAATCAATTTGATTCGTTTACAAACCTGCCTACGATAACAAAAGAGTTGAGAAATTTTTCAAAAACATTCAAATATTCGCATAAAATGCTTCCAGTTTACAAGAGATAACGGTAGGAAATTCTCCTCTCATATATTTATTTATTCGCTGTGATTATTCTTTTAAAACCTGAGCCTATTAATAGATTTATAATCGTTCAAAGATTGTTTCGCGTGGTATGCGTAACGTAAACAATAAATACGTGTGAATAGAAAGTGGTGTCTAGAGCTGCTTACAGCAAAAGTCTGATTGATTTTATGGAAAGAAAATATAGTTTATGGCCGTTTGGGGCTGTTTTTTGTTTGGCGACATGAACATGATGTTCGAGTTAATTTGTTATTTATTTCATTACTTGGCTTATAAAAGGCAACCACACACGGTATGCAAAGAAGCTTAAAGAGAGAAAAAAAAAGAGACAAAGAGAGAGAAAGAGAGAGAAAGAGAGAGAAAGAGAGAGAAAGAGAGAGAAAGAGAAAGAGAGAGTGAGAGTGAGAAAGAGAGAGAGAGAAAAAGAAAGAAAGAAAGAAATAGAGAGAGAGAGAGGGGGAGAGAGAGTTTTTATTGCGTTGGTTGAATCAAAAAAAAAATACATAAATAAGAAGATTAATAATTAATCATGATGATCATTAATATTTTTAGAAGCAATGAAAAACTGGCTAAATAACTCACAGTTAGAGAGATAGAACGGTTAATTATATTATTAGGGCTGCGGCACACGCGGCAAGGTATTAAAATTCAATCCATCAAAATTGGTGATGACATTTCTCCAGTTCAACAACAAAAATCGATGCAAAAACCAAGGATAAGCTGTCACTTACGGAGCATTAGAAGATTGATCAGTTTCAATCCGAGGCAAAATATAACTGAGGTAATATTCTAATCCTTGTAAGGAGAAGATAAGAAACTGCTTGTTGACAAACTCAATTAGATCAATATCACATACGTATTGTTGGCCGAAGCAATGCAATGAATAGACTTTTTGTTGCATAAAGCTCATTAAATACATGTGACCATCTTTTAATGGAATCCAAGGTACGTGTGGTTTTAATTACAATTGAACGTATAAGTAGGTGGAAGCGCAGTTTGGGATCGAAAACAATATACAAGTTTGTAAAATACCGAGTATTTTGACCAACTAGGTCAACAACCTTTGTGACGAAAAGTGTTATACACATGACTGAAGAGGATACACATAACTCAATAGTGTGAAAACGATTTCAGAGTTTAGAGTTAGATTGCGGAATGCCATCGGGCACCTTTACAGGATTCGTTGAGTTAACCCCGTTAGTTTTGCGTTTAGCGTCCAAAAACGCGTAAATATTTTTTGAATTTCTTCTACACTTAATACGCATCGATTGTAAAAAGGACGGTTAGCATTTTCTGCTCTTTGCTCCTTGCAATTAGTTTCCCTTTAATAGGTTTAAAGTGAAAACCCGGGGAGAAAATCGCAAAAAACCCTCAGATAGCCTTAGAAACTTTATTTTTGCGAGTCCTTATCTACTTTAATTACTGGTTAGGCCAAACTAAGCAACCACTACTTTTTCCCACTGTAAAACGCAACGCGTGAACACCGAAATTGCTTCTTGAGGCATTAGGGAAAAATTTAGAATTTCGATAACGAGCGATTCGTTTAAGCAGATTTTATTTGTTAATTATTTTGTCACAGTGGCAAAATATGCTTTTCTTTTTTTGGATATATATGGAAATAGAAAAAAAGAGTGGATTTAATAAGTCACCAGAATTACAAGATACTAGGTCTGACAATCTACCTTGGATATTGTATTATGGTTTCAAAGAACAATCACACATCTACGACGAATAATGCGTTTAGCTCGTTCATTCTATTACTAAGAGCAGGGTGGATTGATGTTACCAAATATACCATGAAGTGCAAAAATGTTTCCAAAGCAGCACGAATGTGCAACGATGCTATACAGCAATATCTTTCGGTTTATCTTAACCATACACTTGAAAACATGGGCGTTGTTAGCTAGTCAAAGCAAGGCGAAAGGAATTAAAGCGTGTACTGTAATAAGTACACGACCGCGATTTTTGTTTGTTCTTTTAGGTCTGTAAATTTCATATGTGGTTCCAAGAATTTATTGTTAAAACTATCAGATTATCCTTCTGACACTAATTCAATAACTAATGAGAAATTGAAGAGATATGTTTAGCTCTTTGATGGATAATTAGCTATACCAGCAGTGGTTGAGGATGGCTTTTGATTTTTCTGGTAAGAGATGACAGTATTCCTTGAATGCTCTTTCATATAAACTAATCGCTATGTAAAAAACTGGTTGAACTTTTAATATTTTATAATTGAGATTGATCTAGACTTGACATATCAATTTATTGGGCCATCATGACTATTAAACCTTAAGATTGGGAGGGAGAAGATGAAATTTTTAATGTTCCATGATCAAAATATTTATGAAAATATTGGCGGATATAGGCGAAGTTATTTAAAATCTTTAATAATCGACTTTACTGGACTATAATGTTTCAATTCACCTTTTAAATGCTTTAGCTTTAGGTACTTTATTGTTTTCCTGTTACGGAGCTACACCAAGATTTTGTTCTTTGTTGTTTTTTCAATGCTTGAAAGAGAAGCGATTAACTTTCCTTTTTCATATTCCATTTTATGCTTTTATGTATAAATGAATACTTAGAAAGGTGAAAGTTGAATTTGAAGATTCGTAGCATGAAAAAGCTAAATCTAAAACAGGCGCAATAACGTAACGAAAGTTTCTTACTTAAGTCTTTTGTTAACAAAAATGTAAATGCAATACAACGAGGAACGTGTTCTTCTAATAAAAAAAAAAAAAAAAAAAAGAAAAGAAAAATAAAGCCAAGAGTTTTTGTTTTCTTTCATTTTACGATTTCCATTTTTTTTTCCATTTTTCATATCGATCAGCAACGAGTCTATCAAGTCTTCATTCGTTCATTCCCCAATACGCTTACGGGACCAAAGACCAGAAAATAGCGTGTAGGTGTGTGTCCATTCGATAAGTGTTATTTATATATGGAATCAAGCTAAAACAAACGTTCACGCAGATTTTACATATTGTGTTCCGAGATGAGACTGAGGTTTAACAGTGGATGTCTATCGTCACGTGTGGACATAGACAGCTATTTCAACCAAAAGCTCTATAACTCTTTTAATGGTGCTGGTCTTGGGGAGGCAGGTGGTCATGTCCAGGACCAACGCTCGCTCAGTGAACCAACTAGACTGTTGAGTGGTAAAGATAACATTGAATCCGTACGTGTCAATTTCATTAGTTCATTTCCCAATACGGGTACGGGTGTACGGGAAGATCAGAAAATAGCGTGTAGGTGGCTGCCCGTTCGATAAGTGTTATATATGGAATCAAGCTAAAACAGAACAAGCTGTTCAGAATTTTAAAATCACTAAACGCCCCAGTCTCTCTATCTCTCTATTGTCCTTCACAAAATGAAAACCAAAAGACGAACTTGTACATCTATTTACTACAGGGAAAATTGCTGTGAAACAGTTTTTCCTATTATATCCAAACCCGAAATATGACTCTGATACTACAGAATCGTTCTGCCTTGTGTTACACCCACAGATATATATTAGATATTTAAAATGATTTATAATATTTTTGATAGGCATAAGATGCTCTCTGACGAAGCATTAAAGAAAACCGTTGCAGGAACTTTAAAATAAAAGTCTGCAACAACGCCTGAAAAGTGCTCACGTTAACGCCTGCTGAATAGACGAGGAAGAGTTTTGAACGCCTACGACATCGGATGGAATCATTTATTGAATAATTCTCTATCCAACTACCGACGAGACTGGAGTAATTTAAAAAAAGAAAAAGAAAAAAAAAACTCGAAAAAATAGAGCCGTTTGATCCAAGTGAGATGGAATAAACACTTGTTTCAGTAAATCTAACGTAGACCTTGAGAAATTACTTTAACTAGAGTACTTGGTCGAATAAAAATATTATTATGTCTCTCATTATGACGAAATATTGCTATTTTATGTACACATTAGTCAAACTCTATATCAGTTGTACAATTTACTTGTTCTGCACTATTTTCTAAAAGGAATGCACAATAACTTGCCGATAGCTGCGAGATTGACTTGAAAACTCGCGCGCTAAAGTGAAAACACTTCTCTCGCTTATTTCATTTGGTTTACCCTTACACACATTAACGCTGCTGTGATTACTGCACTATCATTAGAGAACCTTACTGGGTATACGAACCGTATCGTGTCATTAAACTGCGCATGCAGCAAGTATGCTTTGTCGTTTTTGCATCTACTGCGTTGCGTAATGCAAAAATAAAAATTGTTTTTTTTTTTTTTTTTAAATAAAAAATTCAACTTCAGGTTTTTGGCTTACTTTAGTAACGTGTGTAAAGATGTTTAACGACTTTGAAGAAGACAGTTAAGTAGCAATAACTGTAGTCTTTGTAAACAATAAACAGCTGATAGCAATACTAAATAGAAAAAAAAAAAAAAATAAATAAATAAACAAGTCATCCTCATTGTTGGTTAGTTAATAATTTGAATAAAAGTATAAAACAAAGTAAGAAAATTATATTCGGTCGTGACCGAATCTTTTATACACATCAACATTATCCTAACAAGGATACATTTCTGTATATTTATTTCCTATAGTTTATGAGAAATGAGCAAAAACTAAAAAAATTATTCACAATTTACGTGGTCCTGCGGGCGTGTCTATTGACCGATTTGGCCCATTTTCAATACCGATTTGCATGTAAAAATTTCCAATGTTTCCACGTAATTTGAAGTCGATAGCTTCATTTTTGTGGTCAGGATGCCAATGCTTACAACAGCCCATTACTCGGACGGACATCGATTTTATTGATTTAGAATATGATCTTGATCAAGAATATATATATACTTTGTACGGTTTCTGATGCTTCCGTTTGGGCGTTGCAAACGTTTTAGCAAAATGAATATATCCCTCATCCTTTGCTAATGGATATAAAAAAGTGAATATATTTTACGAAATCGTACTAACTATAAAAAATTTCAAAGTAAAAATTGTAAAACAAATACTTTATGAAAGCAAACACAGCAATTTACATCACTTATATATATTTATTTTTGAAGAGTAACGCCATTTAAGTGAAATGAAAATCTCATTCATTCACAAAGATTTCATTTAATAATGATGGCGTTGTGTGTGGTGCCAGTGCAGTCAATGTTTAAAAGAAGTTTCGCTGCTTAGGTTGACATTAAAAAGTAATGAGAGCTTCGTTCGCTTGCTTGCAGCGTTTATTAATTATGTCAAATTTTATGTCCGATTATTTTAGAGTTTAATCGTTGTAAGAGTACTTTTTTTTTTTTTTTACGACATACATTGCAATGTTTGACAGCCAATTATGATTCTTTCACTTTGCATACGCAGGCAAATAATATTACGACTCGACTGACATTTGTTTTATTACTAAGCGTACCGATTGTAATCATCGCATTTAATATATAATATGCATGATGTTACTCGTAACAGCTAACCACGCTGTTGTCGTTGCCAGTCATTTGCGTGTTAAAAAAATTGATTGATATGATCTCAGTTGGGATCCCTGTGCCTGTCGTCACTTATACTGCAAAATATTCTAAGTGCAAACTGAAAAGTTTCTAAAACACTATTATAGCTAAGCATGGGATGAAAATGAGATGAAAAAGCTTCTTGTCCTCAAAGCACTTTTGATTGCTTTAAAACGGTTGCATTAATTGGTCATCATTGAGGCCTATAAAGTATTGTAGTGCGCTTATGCAGAATGCAATAAACTAAGCAACTCATTACGATTTTGCCAGTTTTTTAAACATAAATCAACATCAGCGTTCGCCTGAAAGACGCTATGGCGACTCTTATCTGTCGAAAATTTCAATTTGTTGGTGATTTGCCAATTTTAAGCAAAGTCGTATCGACATCGATGAGGATGAACGCGTGAGGTCACCCGAATGCGGCGGTTGTTCTAGTAAACAAATCAAAAAGGGCACAACATCCTTTTCGAAGCCCAAAAGGTGAAGTTGCGTCAGATAGGTCAGCAGATAGTAACAGTTACCGTTTTCTATGAACATACATCCATGAGAAAGCCCCGTCCCAAGTGAATGTCGCTTTTTTGCCCACTTTCGTCGGCAACGTCGTTCGAAGCTGCCAAACAATTTGAAGTGTAACTTATAAGCAAATGGCTGGATGTCATAAATTTTTGACATATATCGCAGTGATGTAATATTACGCACTTCATGTAATTTTCGACATATTTTTGAATCCTTGCACGGAACTGCTTTAACTTCGGGAGCGGTTTTGGCTTTGGAAGCTAATGAACAGACTGAAAAGTCACTAACTCAAAAATCATCAGATAACGCTTTTTGAGGTGGTCAACATGCGGCCAAGTCAAATGATAACGACTTGGATCATTGGCTATGTTAAAGTAGAAACGCAAAACATATATATAAACGTTCAAAGAGCTGAGTCGAAGGATTGTTTAGTGTTATGTTAGGAGGTTTATTATATTGTTTCGCTTTATTAAGGAATTCAATTATCGTTTAGAGTATTTGACGAATGAATGACGCAAGCAAACGTGACGTATTATATAAAATAAACTATTGTCCCTTTTTGGGTAATTTTGGAGCAGTGTCTTTGCATATAGTTTGTGCAATGAATTCAACTAACGTGCGAGTAGGGCGCCCCGCCATGCCTTCTCGTAAGTATTCAAAGCGTTTACCGGTCGTGTACATAACGTTCGTTGCGTCGATATGCATCCATTGGCCGCAGGGCACAAATTCCCGTAAAAAGGCCGCAGCCTTACAGGGTCGACCGCCGGAACCTGCTCCATAATTTTGCACGTCGACCGATGTATCACATGTAACCTGTTCCGTGTAATAGTTCCACAAAGGTAGACGCCAAACTCTGTCGCCCGTATGCATGCTAGCGTGATTTATCTGCTGCCAAAGAATTTCAGAGTTGGTAAATACACCGCAAGCAGCCTCTCCTAAAAGGTCACGCATATACCATGACGTAGTGCCGACGTCAACAATAAGCTTCGGGCAAAAATTTTGAGCGTATAAAAGCGTATCGGCTAGTACTAGAACGTCTTCATGATTCGTGCCCTGAATTTTGATATGTTTGCCGTTCATGCATTTTACAGTGTCGCCAGATCGGAACGAATTGCAACCGATGACATTTTCGCATAATGGTATAAGACCTCTCATGTTAACTGGTAAACGTAAACCTGCTATAGCTCTACATGTTGCTACAACCACTGCTGCGCCGGTCATGTCACCGCGCATCCACTTTAATTTTTCTAAAGGTTTGAGACAAAGGCTACCGCAATCGTATGTTATACCTTGACCAATCAATACTATTGGCCTTTCATCGGCCGATGTACCATAATAGCTGAGTTCCAGAAAAATTGGTGGTTCACATGAAGCTTTGCCTACCGATAGAAAGGCATTCATGACTTGACTCTCAGCCCAGCCTTCAACTTTGACCTCTACATTAACACCTGACTTGCACAACACCTCAACTACGTGTTGAGCAAACGCTGTAGGAGTTAAAATATTTGAAGGCATTTCTTGCAGCTGACGTGTCAGATTTTGTGCAGCCGCTTTCTGAAGACCAATACGCCAACCTTCTATATCACATACCTCATCCTTAACAGTATATAAATCGATTACCGGTACAGTAATGCGATTTTTTTTAGCTCGCAACTCCTGATAGGCCCAAATTCCTAAGGCAGCCCCTTCGGCGGCGGACTCAGTGTGACCGCAGTGTTCCACATCAATTCGAACTGAATCTATTAACGCTAAATCCATACAGGCTTTGGCTACCGACCGTCTTATCACTTCTTTTTGCTCGTCAAGTACTTCATACGGATTATAACCTAAACATTCCCTACCCAAACCCACAATAGCTACAGCAGTATAGTATGGTATTTTTTCTGATTCAGGACAAAAGAATATCCTGGCCTGGCCTGTTCTAGGCATCGGCCCCGACATCCTCAATACATCAATAAGACGTCCGCCGGTCTTTTGAATATTATACTTCCAGGCAGTCGGCGTCAAAATTCCTGGATCGCTTTTATCGCCCTCATCGGCATATACACCTAACACTAGACCACGTAAAGGCGGGTCCGCGCAAAGTTCCGTCTGCTGTAGTTGCATCATCTGATTAAGGGCCGCTGATGAGTATTTTCGCAATTGTATAACACGCTTAACGCCGTCCCGGAACGTATTTAAGCGAACTAATCTTAACATGACGTAGTGATACTTTACAATAATATATAATTAATTCGTGTAAAGAGCGCTTTTTCAATATCAAAGATATATACATATATATATATATATATACAAATAAAATATGCGCGTTCTTCTTATTAACAAAGTTTCACTTTGAAGCTTTGAAAAGAATGAAAATTTTCATTGAAAATAAAATTGATTTATATTGAAATAAAAAATCAAACGTACATGATTTTTAGGAGGAAACAACAAATCGCCCTAGTACAAATGACTATGCAATTGGAAACAAGTCAAATCATTTGCATTTCGTTTCTTAATAATCACAAAAAAAAAAAAAAAAAAATCGTTATCTGGTAGTAAAACAAGTAAGAAAATTAGATTCGGTCGAGACTGAATCTTTTTTTGGTCGTTATCCTAAAAAAGATATAAGGGGTAAACGAGCAAAATTTTCATGTTCTATAATATGGATTGGACGCGGTTGATTTCTTCTAACTTCGAAAAAATAATATTCCAATAAAAGTATTTCAATAAAAAGTTTTTGTCGTATCGGGATAGCGTCTAACACAGTGATCACGTTTGCATCGTGTATTATGCGTGTCGGACACAATACATTCGCTTATCTGATTCCAATAATGCAATGCAAGCAATGTGCTCAACTATATTTAAACAAGTGAACTAAAACAAGTAAGATAATTGAATTGAGTCGGGACCGAATCTTTTATACCCGTTACCCTAAAACAGATAAAAGGGGTAAAAGAACACAATTTTCATGCTCTATAATAAGGATTGGGTGCAGTTGATTTCTTCTATTTTCAAAATAAAAAATTTTTGTCGTAGAGGCTTGTGGGAATTGTAGGCGTGTCCTTTAAAAAGTTTAGGTGAATTCCAAATCCTTTTGCAAACTTGTAGGCAATGTCTTCATTCCCGCTAGTGAGAATGTTTATCACAAATACTGCAATGTTACGCAAACAGACAGATGGACAGACGAGCAGGCGGACATGTTTAGGTGCATTCATGATTTGAAATTGGCAAAGAATTTGTGCACTTTGCGGGGTTTTTGAAGTTTGCTTGTCTTGCGCGTTAAAAAGGTATTGAAAAAATAATTCAATTTTGGTACACTGCAATATTGGGTTGGCGTGATCTAATATTTCCATTTTTGTGCACAAATGCTACATCATCGCCCATAGACTAAGCGTTCAAATTTTTGTACATGTATTTAATGTAGTTGCATAAGTAATGAGCAAGAAATGAATTTCTTCTCATTGCTTTTCAAAAACAGGGGTGTTCTCAGTTGACTGTAGTGCTGTGGACATGTCCGCCAACGAATTTAGCTCATTTTCGACACCAATCTGTGTGCAAGAACTTCCACTGTTTCTACAAAATTTGAAGTCGATAGCTTCATAGAGAATGTTTACAACAGACAATGCACACGGACGGACAGGCAGATGATCGATTTAGGATTTGAAGCTGTTCAAGAATATATATATATATATATTTTGCGGGGTTTTTGATTCTTCCTTCTGAGCGTTGCAAACGTTTTGACAAAATGAATATACCCCTCATCCTTCGCTGATGGGTATAACATAGTTAAGTCTATTGTATTAACCCGTTAATTATTCTCGTAGAGATTTAAAAAAGTTCTCATGTAAGAATGCTATGTGCATTTTTGGTCGGGTGAGTGATATCACGGGATATTGCATTGCGATCCGCGATTCTCGATCTACAGAAAATTAGGGAAGTGTTAAAGATATATATGTACCTTAATGTCGTACTTATCTTTCATCATAGAAGCTGGCGCTATACCCACGCAACAAGTCACCGCGTGTACGAACTTGTTCGACCTTGAAGTGATTAACATGCATTTTCAGCAATTGAATGGAAACAATGAGTACTTCGCCGTCTATTATAAGCGCGATCATAATGCATTCCACTTATTTCGATGAAGATACTTCCGCCGTTTCCCTTTCTCTACAAGTTAGTTAGATAAGTTTTGTTTTGTTTGCCAGTCCGTCCTTCTCTGTTTTTTGTCACATTTGTTGTATCACACTTTGAATTTTCATCATCAACCTTTTTCCAGGATTCAATACCATTTTCTTGTGTGGACTGTTCAACTAACGACATATGCTAGAGATTTCAAAGATTTGTCTGAAGAAAAACGCAATTTTGGGCTTTTTTAGTCTATTTTAATTATTTGTAATCAAGAAAATTTTGTAATCAATCCGTTTATATATGTAATTTTCTCACAATAACAAAGGCATTAAAAACACGTTTTAAAAATGCTTTCAACAAATGGTCACACTTATGCTCACTATTCTGACTTGATGAACTAAACTAAACGAGCGGTCTGGTCTGTAAATCATAATTTGTGCTTTAAGTCAATTTATGCTAAAATATGTCAAGTCAATATATGAAATGATTCCGATTCCGAATTCGAATTCGATTTCAATTTCGATTTCGATATCTATTAGTATATCTTCTTCGCCTCTATTGATCGAAAGTTAATTTCGTATCTTGAAGTAGCTGTCATTGTATTATTAATTTCTGCTTGCCAGACTTAACAGAATTTTTCATAAAATTTGTGCTTTTGATATTAATTGACCCAATTTTCACTTATCTTCAGCTACCAATTTTTCTTGATTCGTTCGCGTACATACAAAAATGAAATGTACAATGAATGAGGCAACCGTAAGAGGCGAAAGAAAAGAGAAAGTATTCTTCGCTTCAAGTCGAACATTGGATCCCCGTTATCTGTGGTAGATTAATTAAACGATTCCTCATAACGGGCTCAAATATATGTCCAAAAATAAATTTCATGCTAAGCAAAGAGTGTACGAAGGTAGATCGGCAGTATTTTAAAACCTGATCGAGCGAATTGAATCATGACTATCGGACGAATACTACACAATACTGACTAGACGGAGAAGAAGGATAGATCGCAGACTACAGATAAGGCAAAGACACAAAAAATTATATCAGCACCGTAATAGTCCAGTGTGGAGTAGACCGGTCGGTGATTGAAATTAAATCACTTATGTTTTTTTTATACATCATTTTAGCATAAAAGCACTGAACTTGGATCATGGTCGGGTAGCCCTCCTACAAGTATATAGGTTCAATAAGCATAGAAAAGCGATTGGACAAACGAATAGATACGAGGATCGGTAACTGGGAAAAACGTATGTGTGGTTGGCGTGACCGAGCAGGACAGGTTTGTAAATAGGAGGATGAAGAAATAGCCATCTAAGTGGATAAATGAATATATAAGTAGAAGGAGATATGCGCGGATTTACACATGTATACATTACTTTATTCTTAATCATATTCTACCACATACTCTGTCAAATCGTGTAGTATTTACTCTGTAAGATATGCGAAGCACGTTGGTACCTTTTACGTTACACATTACGTTAAAGCTAACATACCTTCAGCTTGAATGGTGTTTATGCAGAAATACCACAAGGAAAACCTGTTCCTTTTTTAGACGTTGCATAGCCGAAGCGTACTTTACTATAGGTAATGTACTATGTTCATACTTGAATTGCACTCAATTTGTGTTTAGGCGCCAAAAACTTAGTGCGAGTTTTTGAGTAAGAAAATATTTCATAAGAATGAGTGTTTTTTTTTTTGAAACGTGGTCAACGGCCAGACTTCTCTTTGTTGCTTCAATGTACTGTTGCATCTCTTGAATTAAATGTTGATATAACACATAACGGATTGGTTTTTCAATTAAATACGAACGGGTACTTTCCTAATAAGCCGATTAATAAATTTTTTCTTCACATTACAAACGAATTTGAATTTAAGCAAATCCAAACGCGGAACATAGAGTGAACTTTGAAAATTCCATCGCATAAAATAGGAAATAAAATTTAGCATAAATCTTTTAACGGGATATTTGAGACAGAAAAAAAAAAAGAAAAACCGGTCGAAACTACGATTAAAGGCATTTAAAAATTGAAAAACATACGTATATATATATATATATACATTTCCTTTTAATAACGATGGACGGATCAACTGGTCGGTTGGAAATTGTTCTTTGGAAGCACGTTTGTGTGACATAAAAAATATTATTTCTAGTCATTTCATGTATACCCGTAGGATATAATTTTCGTAAACTGATTTTGAGGTTATGTCCCGGCAGAGCGTCAACATTTTGACGTGACGTTAAAGCTACATTAACCAATCCCCCACATAAATGAGTTGTGATGGACGAATGTTTACGGCCACCGAGGCTTGTTATGAAGAATTAATTGTCGCATGAACAAATTCAAATCGGCATAAACGCTATGAGTAAAAAAAATTTGCGGGAGTAAGATTTCTTCGATAATATTTATGGCCTAAGAGTTAACAAGAAATAGTATTTAAGTGTTATATGTTATTTTCCTGAAGGTTTTTTGTTTGTTTGAATTATGGGTAACGCAAAAATGCAACTCTTCACAATGCATTAGCTACTCGAGACCTTTCCATCAGAGTTTCATTTCATATTATTGACATGACTTAGCTTCTTCTGACTTGCGGGTAAAATAATTCCGTAAAACAATGAATCAAATTAACTCAAGTTTCAGATGAAAACAGACAAGAAGAAGAAGAACATGTTGGCATGGAAGTGCTGCCTCGAAGAAAAGGTAAGACCACGTGAATTATAGCTAGGAATGTCACGTTAACCTTAAGCGATACATATAGAGAGAAAATTAAAGCACGAATCGTCCGAATTTTCCGCTTATGTCACGTGCTTAAGAATTGAAAGTTTCGATTCGACTTTGTTTGTCTCGAAGGGCTTGACCATTTAGGCAAGCAGATTATCAGAACCTAACCTTAGTGTGACATTTTTGACGTTAATCCTTTTTTTCCGCAACATGTTCGACAATCGCCAACTGCATGACTTTACCACTTTTGGAATTTGGATTTCCTAGAAAATCGGTCAGTTTTCATGCACAGTTTGGTGCTATTTGCGTCTCGATCACAAATCAGATAATAGACGATTTTCATAGTAACATAAATTTTCAAGAATGTGAGAAGTTTTTACATTGCCTTTCTTAGCGCTTGACTCTCACTGCGATTAAATTGCGGGTAGAAGACGGTCTCTATGAAATTAGTACCTTGGCATACAAAAATCTATGTACAATATTTGGTTAGGGTGGGACCATACGGTTGCTCAACGTTCCTTCTATGTGAACAACAAAAACAAAAAACAAAAAAGACAATTTACCGACTTGTGTACGCTTTCATAAAAGAGTTTTTGATAAAAAGTAAGCTCCCATATGACAATAAGGTGTAACTTTGTGTCGATAATATGTTGCGCCTGCAACTCAACCGTAGGGCAAAATAGTGTAGTGTTAGCCAACTATGCCGTTCAAATTATTGCTTGGTCTTCATTTGAAGCTTGCGCTTGTAAGAGCGATTACAAAGCTATATAGGGAGGCTTGTTGTAATATTCTACATAACTGTTATTGTATTGTAACTTGCTATGTATTGCATGATATGAGCAATATCGCATATAGGGTGCAATTTTTCGCAGTTTTTGATAACAATAAATATAGACGCGTTTGTCCTTGGCCATCAGAATTACTATTTTTGAGTTATTTCAACTGATTCTGACCGAATGAATGAATGAATATGTTCTTCATAGACTTTATTTATTGCAGTTTTCTAAACATAGTAAACAACATTGCTCGCGAAGGCTAAGCGTACATATTGAATGTCGTTAGATGATGGTATGAAAATGAACGAAAATAATATATGGAAAAGAAGAAAGAAATTATCAGAAAATAGAAATCCAATACTTAAGAGAGATGTACATACATATCAATAATTAATTGAGAAATGTTCTCTATCGACTCATTTATTGCTTTTCACATTTGCCTTGATAAGATCGTACTCATAGGTACTAATGATTCGTTCCAAAGCTTTTGCTTTTCTCATATGGAGATCTAAGCGAAATTTAAGCGATACCATGAGTATAACTTTCAACGAATTCATTGCAAAATATGTTACTATAAAGCAATATCAGCAATTATAGTGAAATAGGCAACAATAATATGTTGTATGTTGTAAAGTTAAATTTATGCTTCAGTAACATCTGGTGATCCCAATAATGTATACATGCACGTATTTTAACCAATACATATACAATGAGCGATTCCAATTTCATATACATGAGACGGATACCGATGTACGTGTAACTGAGTGCGAGTGTGAGTAGTAAGTGTGGACTTGAGTTACATATTTCTTGAATATTGTTTTCGCTTTTAATCATAAGGAGGAGGTAGTAAGCAATGTAATGAATAGCCGGAGCTGAAGTCGGAGCCCGATGGCAAGGTCGATAAGATAAGCGTTTTGCCAACATGTAAGAATTTTTCTATAGATATGAAATTAGTTTTTAATAATTTTTTTTTTTTTTTTTTTTTTGCAATTTTCGTATGGGTAACAATAGGCTATTAGCTCTAGTGGCTATTAGCGTAGCACCTCATTTTTATTAATTGTAAATAAAGAGATTTATTCCTGTTTGCCAAGATTTGGCGATAGCTTAGCTTGAACGGACCAATCAATCTCGCCATATATCTCATACATACAAGCAGCAAAGCTGTTTGCGACCTTAAAACAAATTTCAAACACTTAATGTCTATTCTCAGTGATAGGAAAGACAGAGTGGTAAGGTAACGTTTGTACAAAGCAGCTATTTATGTAGCAGATCTGTCGTATTACGCTTTTCCATTACAATTCATTGGACTTTGCACAGTCCCAAATTCAGAGGAGACAATCGGCCATATACTAGAAATCGATGCTCTTCATATACACACATATAAACTTGGAAGAATATGAGAATAGTTTCTGTGCATTACAATCGATATCACAAAATTATAATGCGTTGATTCTTTGTTGTCGCAAGAAAAATTTTTCTTTTTAAATTCCTATGCAGTCGCATTTTTCTTTCAAAACATGTTTTTTAATAGTTTTCCATGAAAACTGTAAATACTCTCCAGTTAATAACAAGTTTAAATCATTTAGGTTAAAGCTGTCGCAAAAAAAAAAAAAAAAAAAAAAAAAAAAAAAATCGTCCGTGATTGCAAGACAGAGCAAAGTGTTTGGTTTTTCCCACATGTGTAGAAAGAGTTGCAAAACTGAACTGTTCATGTGACGATGCTGCTATAAATGGTAATGAAATGTATGCCAAGAGGAAGATTCGAAGGTTAATTGTATTATACACACAGTATATAGAAAATATGTATGAAAATGACATTCATATGCATTTAGAAAGGAACTGTAACCTAAATTACCATAATATGGGTAAGAATTTTTTTAAAACAATTATGAAGTCTGTCTCTTCGCATATATACATATATATGAATAGCCATAGCAATTAATTCTAAATCTCTGAATAATTTGAAGTTAGGCATTAGCAAGAAAGCTTATTAGATTAGTAAAAGTTGTAGGGAGCCTTCGTTACTATATCCAGGCATTTTTTCATTACAAGACTGTCGTACATAGCTATAATTTGTTATGTGATAAACATCATTTCGCAGTTTTGTAGATAAGCTATCAGCTGTAAAATCAGATTTTTCATCTAAACATTAGGAAAAGTTTTAGAAGAAAACCGAATAAGAATAAAAAAAAAATTTGATAAATGCGTACCATTTTCTATCTATCCTATCCAGCTGTTAGCCAATGATTAGTAAAGTCAGCGAATATTATCTTGATTTCTACGTCTTTTCACTTTTATTTCGTGTATTCTCATTTGCCTTGCATTCGTTGAAATGGCCAGTGATTCCTTTCGATTGAAAATTTCAAGGGTATAACTCTTTCTCTTCCAATAAGCGAAAGCATTAATGATCCACTTTGCCTTATTTTACAAATATGAAGCATTGATTGATACAATGACAGCACGATATACTAGGCTCCCCGATTTTATTCGGAAATCAGGAAGTGATTAATAAAAGCACTCGTTAAATTGGATTAAATTAGATTTAAATTTCTCTCTCTTTAATTTTACTTTATTTTAGAACACAGCCTCAACAAAGTGCCTGTCAAGCTATGAAAGATAAGCGTTGCCGTTGGACTAGAGGTAAAGTGTTAGGCGGTAGTTCTGTATTAAATACTATGCTTTACATAAGGGGTAATCGTCGTGATTTTGATCAGTGGGCCTCCTTTGGTAATCCTGGCTGGAGTTATGAAGACGTTTTACCCTATTTTCGTAAATCTGAGGATCAACGAAATCCGTATTTGGCACGTAGCAAGAGATATCATGGCACAGGTAGGATATGCTAAAATAGAGAAAGCAATCTTCTATATAGTCCTAGTTTTTACAGGTGGTCTTTGGACGGTACAAGATGCCCCCTATAATACGCCTTTAGGCCCAGCATTTTTGCAAGCAGGCGAAGAGATGGGTTACGATATAGTCGACGTTAATGGAGAACAACAAACTGGATTCGCTTTCTATCAATTCAATATGCGTCGGGGCTCGCGCTGCTCGACGGCCAAATCATTTTTAAGACCGGCTCGTTTACGTAAAAATTTACATGTTGCCTTATTTGCTCATGTTACGAAAATTCTAACTCACCCGCAAACGAAAAGAGCTATTGGCGTACAATTTATTCGCGATGGTATACTGCAGACAGTTTACGCTACACGAGAGGTGATATTATCAGCGGGCGCCTTAGCTTCACCGCATTTATTAATGTTATCGGGTATAGGTCCAGCTGAAGAATTGCAAAGAGTGGGCATTCCACTAGTGTATAACGCGCCCGGAGTCGGACAAAATCTGCAGGATCATATCGCCGTTGGTGGCTTGGCTTTCCTTATTGATTATCCCATATCGATAGTTATGAAACGCTTAGTTAATATTAATACAGCTTTACGGTACGCTGTCACTGAGGATGGACCTTTGACTTCAAGTGTAGGTCTGGAAGCTGTAGCTTTTATTAACACAAAATACGCTAATTCAAGCGATGATTGGCCCGACATAAACTTTATGTTAACCTCTGCTTCAGTTATGTCCGATGGAGGCTCCCAAGTAAGAATCGCTCATGGGTTATCGGATGAATTCTACAATGAAGTCTACAGCGAAATAAACAATCGCGATGTTTTCGGTGTATTTCCCATGATGTTGCGACCGAAAAGTCGAGGTTTTATCAAATTGGCTTCCAAGAATCCTCTACGGTATCCATTATTGTATCATAATTACCTCACACATCCGGATGACGTTAATGTTCTAAGAGAAGGTGTTAAAGCCGCTATAGCTGTCGGTGAAACTCAAGCAATGAAAAGATTTGGAGCTCGTTTCTGGTCTAAGAAATTGCCGAATTGTCGGCACCTGCCTCACTTCACCGACGACTATTGGGACTGCGCGATACGGCAATATACTATGACTATTTATCATATGTCGGGCACAGTAAAAATGGGTCCACCTAGCGATCCATGGGCGGTTGTTGATTCTCAACTTAGAGTTTATGGCGTACCTGGCTTAAGAGTGATAGATGCCAGTATTATGCCAACTATAACCAATGGCAACATCCATGCTCCGGTAGTTATGATAGCCGAAAAAGGAGCGGACATGATTAAAGAATTATGGTTGGATGCGACACAGTATCGTGCAAAACGAAGCGGTGACGATGAAAGCGAGGCCTGTAATATCACCGAAGCGTCTACCATAACAATGGAACGAGACTCTCATACAAAAGGAATTTCATAGCCCCTTAAAGCGTAAATTTAAATGCTTAGATGCTTAAATAATTTTAATTAGTTAATTAGTTTGTTTTAAAAATCATTATTTATTTTTCATGCTTTCTTTATCAGTGTTGTCTTTTATTCGTTCGAAGATTTAGTTTCAATTTGTGTTTTTTTTTTTTTTTTTTTTTTTAATTTTATCGTTTGTAAATACTATGCGTGCAGGGATTTTTATTATTTAATTATTTTGTTAATCAAGAGTAAGTGTTTTTTCATTGAGTCATATTGAGTATATTGTGTTTTAAGCTGTAGAAGTAAGATTTAGTTTGAAAACTAATAAAGAGATGAAAAAATGTGAGATGATGGGACAGATGAGCTTTTTCTAAACAAATTTGCTTTTACTTTACAAAGTGTTCTTGCGACAATATTCGCTTCTTCGACAAGCAAGTGCATGTCAAGGTCATTTCTAGGTTACATCTCTGCATTACATATAACCTGACCGTTAACAATAGGAAAAGAACACTTAATTAACTTATGCCTTGTAATTTATGTTGATTTGGGGCTTCTCACATATATTTTCCACGGAATCTGTAATGTAAAACTAAGAAAGGTTAACCGGAATGCTTTCAGTTAACGAACGCAATGCTTTCCTTATCCTTATCCTTATATATATATATATATATTTTTCATTAAGCATTAAAAATGAAAAAAATCTTCATACGTCTGATAATCGTTAGCATTTTAAAGCTTTTCATGTGAAAAGTCAAGTTCGAACATCAACTAAATAAATTTCAATTGTCTAAGAATCAGAAGTGAAGTGAAGTTCGTGAACATCTTTTCTATATCTATCATCATCAATTGGTGAGGGGAAGGGCGAATGTATTTGCTTTGTCAACACCAAAAAGCAAGCTTCACAACATATATATATATATATATATATATATATATATATATATATATAGAATCGTCATCAGTGTTGAGTTTATAACTAAAGTATGCATGACCTCTGTTCGCCGGCGCCTCGGTTTGGGGTTTAATCCATATGTCACTCTTTGAGGAATTTATGAGAGTAAGATGTCTAAAGTGTTACTATTATGTAAACGATGCATTTAGTTCAACATTACGGTCTAATAAGTAAACTTTTCGATCATATCATAGTATCAGCTTGCTTACTTCGCTGCGTTGCTGATTTAATTTTGTTGCATACTCTTAGGCATAAGTCTTTAATAGACTCTATACAGTTCTACTTCTGACCGCTCTGTTAATTAACATTGCTTAAGGAGAGATAGGCAAGAAAGATGGTTGTGTGTGATTGCAGCGCACTTAAAAAAAGTTTTTATTTTCAATAACAAAAAAAAAAAAAAAAAGAAATGGAATTTTTTCATTTGTCGATTGTAGAGCGATTAAAATTAGGCACATATCACATTATTTCATATCGAAAACGTTGCAATGTGTTTTTTAATATTCACTATACAATTGATTTGATGTTAAGTTCACACTTTCAACATATATTTCTTTCATTTTCAATAATAAAAAAAATTTGAATTTTTTATATCCGGTGCAGGACGATTAAAACGGAAGAAGTAGATGAAATATGCCGATTAGGTTGAAGATTAAAACTTAGTCAATTCATTTGTTGGGTTGTCTTGTCGTTAATATGTTTTTCACTGGTCTTCTTATATGAGTTTAAAAGTTTCATAATTTTGTACTGTCGCAACCGATGATCAGATGAAGCTTTGCTTTAAACCATTGCGAAGATCATAGCGCTATCCGCTGTTTCTACTTCAGTAAGTAAGTAAATATGTGGAAATAGAAAATGCGCCCGCCTCGGATAATATCTTAGCCAGCATCGTATTGGACGCTAAATCTTCCACGAAAGCAAAGCGCATGGTACAGATTCTTAATGCAGCTGAAAGTACATCATAAACAATAGACCTATGACAACAACTGCAAAACCACAAACGAGAACCATGTTAATATGTCGTCGACAGCCGCACCTCTGGCACCACAAAAGAAAGCACGTAGAGTGCTGAATATTGATTATTCCACTTGGCAAATGGCCACTACCTTAAAGGGGCGTTATAGCTATTGTAAAAATGTCGCAAGAAGAAGTGCGCAATGATATGAGTTTATTGACCACCACTACTGGTGTCACTACTACGTGTTCTACTCTATAGGTCGCCTTATTAATCAATGCTCCCTGAGTAAATTTGACATCCACGACATTGAATGCGACATTGCAGTGGCCTTTCTTCGCAACTCTTGATTTTTTCGGCTGAAAACATCGAACGTATTTATATATAATAAATGCCACATAATTAAATGCGGGAATATAGTAACGGAAGTTCGCTTTCACTTCATCATTTAAAATGGAAGTTCTTTCTGAAAAGACTGCCCTTTAATTGTAAAATCCGTTGTCGATGGAAGGGACGCTAGTCAAGCGCTTTATAACGGGGAAGAGATACTCGAATGACAAACATTTGTCTTTAAATTCCCCTTTCAGTAACTGCAAAGGCTAACCTCTTCTTTGGCTGTCTTCTGGCCTTTTGATGCTCGCGGCTTTCCTTCTTTCATCCCTTATTTTATAACTTTTTGTTATGCAAATGTTGCACGCCCGACTTAATTTTTTCAAATATTTTTCTTTCATGACATTCTCTTGTCTTGGCGGAAGATCTTTACCGCCTAGTCTTCAATGTAGTCTCTAAAAATTTGAAAGTTATAAGGGAACATTATTAATTGTTATTTTTGGGTATCCTATGAACATATGTTACGGTCGTGGCTGTAATCTCATTTTTATAAACCAATCTATGCCATCAATCACTTCAATAATGAATTATGCAAACACATCGTCCATTAACAATTTACTTAACCTGCGAACATAAATGTATTGTGAAACAAGAAGAAGAAATGTTCATCGTTTCCTTTACGCGCAGCTTAATAGCCTGGGCGCACCAGTTTTTTTTTTCCGTTATGTTTTAGCGTTAATATCGTCAAGATTTACGGTAACATTGCAAAAAATTTCAATTACACTAACAACTGCTTGAAGAAAAACAAAACGCAAATAAAAAAATAAAAAAATAGTTTCCAGAAATTAATTGAGAGTGCAGTAAAAAAAAAAAAAAAAAAAAAAAAAAAAAAAAACAGTAGCAACTTCAAAAGATAACAACAATAAAATAACAACAACTACCGACCAGTTAGAGCACTTGAAGCACTTGGTTGGTTAGTCGAGCCGGCATTAACCCGCACAACAACAATAACGTAATAAATTTTCCGTTAAACAAGAAGTTGTTTTTTTCGTAAGCCGAACTTGAATTGAGATCATTTTCATATCCTACGCAGAAAAAAAAAAAAAAAAAAAAAAAACTAAAATGAAAATGCAAACTAAAGTTGATTATTAGATAAGTTTCAGTGTTGCGTAGTTTGTTGGTTTGGTGCGCTGGCGCTATCGCTAGCTTTGGCTGATGATTTCAGTGTCATTGTCATGAGCAGAGCAAGCGTATATAGTATAAAGTAAAAAAAAAAAAAAAAAAAAAGTCAAGCTTGTTAAGCAATGGTTAGCAATGGTGTACAACTAGAAAAACTTCATTCAGTTTAAGTCGAATCGTGGCGAACGTAACTAACCTAAGCAATGCGTCAGGTTAACACTAACTGAAAACATCTCTTAAATCACAATTACGTAATTGACATTTTAAGAGAAATTTAACGGCGACTCGTTAAGTTCGATTAAATTAAATATTATGCTCCCTTTTTTTATTAAATTTATTACTTATTACTTATTACTTAGTAAGATGTTTCATATTTATAGAATCCGAATGGGAACATGATATTTATTTACTTGCTATGAGATATATTTATTTTGTTCAACATATGCGAATTGCTTGGAATTCGAAACTTCGTAATTTCTGTCTCATTCAGATTCAAAAAACCGTTTAATGTCATCTTGAGAGCTCTGCCATATTCCTCTCAGAAAGATCATTCGATTTTTTTCAACTTTTTCTTCAGACATTTCACATAATCGCCTTTCTCTAGATATAATTTTGAAAATAATTTTTTTTAATTTCTTATGAAAAATACCTTTAACCCAACTAATGACCTTTACACAGCCTTTCCCCCCAAAACAAGGTTTTCTTATTTAATAACAAAAGGCAATCGATTAACTTCAAATTTGGAGAAACGAATGAATGAAATGGAAAATCCTTTGAATACTCTATCGTGTTCACTCCGGGCATTAGGAATAAGTAAAGCAGAATCTTATTGCGTTCAACAATCAAAATTTCTCAATTTTCGATAGCCGTAACAAAGAAAGAGAGCGACAATGGAAGAGGCAGTTTTGAGACATTTGATCATTCAAATGTAGACCGTTGTTTTGGTTAATGCTCGGCTCATGGATTCAGCCACGTCTTCGAGAGACGAGCATAATAAATTTTCTATAAGTTCCATTGAAAAATTGTTTATTATGCATAGGTTGCGTTTGTTCGTCAATGATTTCTTTTTTTTACATTCCCAGGCCTAAAGCCTCTCAGCGCAGAAGGTACCTCGTACAAGGCAATTCAATCCATTCCATTTTCATTTTTAAACATATATTTTTAAAAAACAATTTTTTTTTTTTTTTTTTATATATACAATTATGTGGATTGGGGATAAAATTTCTTGTTAGAAGATATGTTTACCTAATTAATAGCAAGGGTTTAATAGCCTTAATCTTAGAATGATAAGGGCAATAAGCACGAACGTTTGCGGTAGTTGAGCAGATAGAGTTGCTGTCAAAGTATTTAAATCAGAAGATGGGAAATGTGCTTCTTCATCTATCGAATGCGTTTGTACGACGAACTCATTAAGTTTTAGTCCAAATATTATAGAAGTTTGCCTCGATAGAAAGCATATATTTTCAATGAAATGAAGATCTCGCTTTTGGTTATCTCTCTAGACCATCTCTCTCCCATCTAGGCCCTGCCAAACTCTAATCGATCTTTGATTTCATCTCAAACACAACTGGCAACTAGAGAGACCCTCTGTAGCAATATACGCGTGGTTTGGAAAACAATTGCAACTAACAACAATTTGATATTTTATGCACTAAGAAGACATCAATAGCATAACAATGTCAATGTTGTGAAATGCCAAAAAAAAAAAAAGAAAAAAAAAAAAAAAAGGAAAAAACA